ATTAACGCTCCAATATTTTATCCATGCTGTTAAAGAAGCGTATATGCAACACCTCGAATTTGTTAAAAGCCCTATCGTGCATGACATTAAATCTCTGTTCAGAGGGCCAGCGGAAGAAATCTTTCTTAATGAAGTTATATTGAGGTTGCAATTTATATTTCTGCGCTTGGAAACAGTAAGTATTGCTAGGTGACTACAAACGAGTCTAATCGAAAGTTTGATATTTTTTAACAATATGTTCTTCAGAACGTTTCGCCATTTTAGCCTGATTGATGTTGTTCACAGTAAATTGAAAAATTCATCTCTGGCAAAAAGTGGAATTAACTCGCGAACATTTTTGAGCGGTTATTTTGCTTAAATTTCGTTGTGGATTATCAATACAAGAGTGCTAGATAAACTTAATTCTTTATACAGCAATAAAGTACTGTTCTACAGCACTGTAAAATCTGGTATAACGAATTCAATCGTGGTCGACGTTCGCTCCAGGGCGAATTCCATGAAGGTCGTCCAAAATGAATTTTTGTACCAGAAAATATCGATGCTGTGCGTGAACTGATAGATCAAGATCGTCATGTGACATACTGTGAGATTTAGCCATCTTTACGCATTAGTATGACAAGCATCAATAATATATTACAGGACCATTTGGCCGTAAGAAAGGTTTGTTCACGTTGGATTCCGCATAATCTGACAAATTCTCAAAGGAAGGCTCATGTCAATTCATACAAGGAAATGTTGGAAAAATGCGTTCAAGGTCCACCAAAGGCTGTGTATAACATCTGCACAGGTGACGAATCATGGATATATGCATATGAACCCGAAGTAAAACAGCAGTCGACTGTATGGGTCGTCGAAGACGAGCCAAATCCTACAAAAGTTGTTCGCGGAAGAAGCACATCAAAGCAAATGGTTGCCTTTTCATCGGCATTACCAGTCACGTGGCAACAGTGGTGTTAGAGCAATGCAGGACGGTCAATTCCGAACCGTACACGTCCATTTCTTTGTCACACAAGCCATCGGAGAAATTCGAAAAAAGCAGAAGCGAATTATTCCTCATCATGACAATGCGAACTCTCACACATCGGCTCAAACACAAGAATTTTTGACAGACCAAAACATCGAATTGATGGGTCATCCGCTGTACAGCCCTGATTTGGTCCCCAATGACATTTTTTTATTCCCGCTCATCAAAAATAATTTATGTGGTCAGGGATTTGCGACAGCCGAAGAAGCGGTTGAAGTTTCCTCAATCGGAGTGAAAAGCCCACTAGCGGCCGAGCGGTAAAGTCGCTGAACACTTGTAGCTCGGTCCGAGACTCGAATCCCGCGAAGGTCTGGCTGCATGGTCGTTTTTGGTGTTTTCGTGGTTTTTCCTCCTGTGTAACGTGTATACGAGCCAGTTTCCCTTAGAACGTCCTCCACGAAGGCATCCCCCCCTTAGGCAGATAGCCCGAGTGAGCTTTGCCATAATTAAATACACCACACCACAATCGAAGTGAAAAAAAAAGCTTCGAAAAGGGGTTCAGACGCATGCAAAAGTGTGTTGATATTCATGGAGAACATTTTGAAAAACAATAAAACTAATTTCGTTCATTTCAATTCAATGACCATTTGTTTTTCATTATTAGGTCAGAAATATAAATAGCAACATTCATATCATATCTAACAACGAGTAAAGGCTAAGAGAAACTTTCCGCAGAAGAGTGTCTCCTTCGCCTACCATTGGAGATTGGAGGGTTCCCAGCCGAAAAATGCTTCGCTGCAATTAATGTCCTACCTAGCTATACGGGGCATTTGTGAAACGTTTTCACTTAGTGTTGTGTCAATCGTATGTTTTTGTATAAGTCAACCAATCAGATATTCCGATTCAACCAATCAGAAGCGAAAATTCTAGAAAGGTTTGTCTCGACGAACTGCTGAGGATAGGTAGTAGATCTGATACAGGTTTAACAGCGTTAAAGAATCGTGTGCTGAAACTGATGTTGGAATAAGCCTGCATGCAAAGATCATCCAAAGAGGATAGAAGCATCTAAAGTGCATAGAAAAAGTTCATTAATAGCAAGTGCAGGATCTGCAACGCTGAGAGACATTTATGAAATAATTTCAGTTCAAGAAGACGACTGGAATACGTCTTCGGTGCGTTTTTATATAATTATAGACGTGGATTAATACAATAGCCGGCGAATCTAAATTTCAATCTGAAATTTTAACGGCATATTGCAAGCTCTGTGGAAGAACAGGTTAGCTCGCTTAGGTAAAAAAAGAAAGTGCATTCTCGATGCTCAAAATACCATAGGCCTTTCCATTGATTTAACCTAAATGTTAATTTTTTACGCGTCTGTGAAAATTTCCTGTTAATTTGCCTTTTTCTATAATAAATATAGTCAATGTTTTATAGCGTAATGATTGGTGCGCATTGTGCAGTAGTAGTTTGCATTAATAATTAAGCAAGGCAAAAAATAAACAACAATCATTTCATAGGTATAGAACTGTATAGTGAGTGCTGATTTGGATTAATGCTTAAATAGCAGTGGGGCAACAAATTTTGAATTTTCAATTTACTTAAATTAATTTCGCCGGCACTGAATTCGTCTTTTTTTTTTTTTTTTTTTTTAGTCCAAAGGGATTTCAGTCCCGAACAAGGAGGTTAGAATACATGGAGATGCCCTGCGCGCAGTCCAAGTGAAGCCAAAAAGGGGGGGGGAAAGCATGCCCTTAGTAGTCGTGGCTTTAGAAAGATTGACGAGCTCTTCAGCCAATGAGGCAGAACCTAGCCACACCCAGTTTCGTAAATTAAAGACCGTGAAATCTTTGCGCGCTTTTTCCTTCACTTTTTCCCGCCATTTCATTTTATTTCTACATTTTCTATCATCTTGTAGACGGCTGCAATATTGTTCCGAGAAGCAATTTTTATTCCTGCCAGAATGGTAAATTCCTGCGTCGCTTTCGGCTGTACAGATAGAAGAATAGCAGGATCCGGTATTACATTTCACAGGTAAATATTCTTTTAACATATATACTATCATTTATTTAATTATACTTTGCTCAAAGTTAGATAAAAATTTGCTGTGCATGTTTAAAACATATCCAAGGAAACGGCTGCAAGTGCTGATAATTGTATCAATTCTAATGATTATCAGGATATGCAGAGGAAAAATATATGTACAAAGGGACTGATTCCCTTAAAATGAGTTAAATGAGAAATGCATTATGTAATTACATGCTGTTATTAATGAATGCTAGCAATAAAGGTATTGTGAAAATAAATAAATAAATACTCAAACAATTAATTGATTATATTTTAGTTATTCTAAATATATACAGGTATAATTCTCAATTTTCCATGTTAGAAATACTACTTACGTTTTGAAAAATATTAAATTGCATGAACAATGATAAAAAATAATATTTAATTTCTGCATTGTTATTTTTAAAACTCCCACAATTTCAAATTCACCCCAAATTAAATCCTGTTATTAATATTTACTTGAACAGAAAATAAAATTAAATACATAAAATATGACTTGTAATATAATATGATCACACCTTTAAAATAACGCGTTTTCTTTTCCACGATGAGCTGACCACTCCCCCTTCCCTTGTTTACTTACCGTTTTGCTTTTACAACTCAGTTAATTAAGAGTATAATACTCAAACCATTAATTGAAGAAAAATCTGAGAATTATAAATGTTTCTTCGCGCACGTCACACCGAGAAAATACTCAAACTCTTTGCTGACGGCTTTTCAAACGCACATTTCAATTATTCTACTTATTTATGCATGTTAAAAAAACATTCTTTTATATGGAAATGAAATCCGAAATGTAGACATTATTTCAATGTAACCATTCAGTACCTTATAACCCTCTCACGTCTTGACATAAGAAATCAGAAAACACACTCAAAACTTCAAACAAGCTGACGTTTAACCTCACTTCACATAGTAAGGGAAGCGTTTTCTTGCCCTCACGAGGCGTGGCTTATTAGCTTCCCCCGGCTTCACTCTCCTCGTATTGCGACAGCAGAGACGCCATCTCCATTGTATTCTAACCTCCTTGGTCCCGAAGGACTATTGCTTTCGTTTTGGCATTTTGCGTCGGACTCATAAACGTCGGTTCACTTTTCAAACTGTTGCCACAAAATGTTAGAGTCCTGCATTATATTTGAAGAAATTAAATAATGAAAAATCTGCATAAATGATTGTCTATTTCTCGCATTGTGATAAAACAATGGTACATAGAGCCATCGAATTTTGAATGACGAAATCCTACTGCGAATATGGGCATCTGAAATCCCAAATTTGGAATTTGTTTTATTATAGATTTTATATTTTGTAAAACTTTAACGAATTTTTGATTTACAAACTCAATGCTTTAAAAGCGAGAAATGGCAACGTTATATATAAAAAAAAAATACTTTTATCTCCAGCTCGCGAGACTGTGTATATCGGAAATTCTAAAGATATGCTTAATTTAACATTATTTTGCGATATTGCTCTTGAACTGAATTTTATGGTTTAAGTGCAAAGAACATGATAGTTAATAAATAAAGGTAACACTCAAAACGTTAAAAAAACGCCCCTTTGGACGTAATTTAAAATCTGAAAAATTTCAGATTTTATTTTTTATTTTTTATTTTTATTTTTTTATTTATTCTTATTTATTTTTATTATTTTTTTTTTTATTTTTTTTTTTTTTTTTTTTTTTTTATTTTTTTTTTTGTCCAAAGGGTTTTGTCTCTGAAGGACTATTGTTTTCGTTTTGCGATTTCGCGTCGATTCACTACAAACGGCGAATCACTTTTCAAACTGTTTCCACAAAGTATTATCGCCCTGTGTTTTATTTAAAGAAATTAAATAATGAAAAATCTGCATAAATGTGTGTATATTTCTCGCATTGTGATAAAACAACGGTACATAGAGCCATCCAATTTTGAATGACGTAATCCTCCAATGAACATGGGCATGTGGAAGACCAAATTTGAAATTCAGAATTTGTTTTATTATGGATTTCTTATTTTGAAACATTTTTAAATGCTAAAAACCTTTTGATTTTTCTCCCTGCGGGCACCAAGACTTAGCGGGTGCAAAACAAAACTGCTTGGTCTACGCAGATGAACAGAAAAAATTTCTCAGTTTCAGCCTAGTACATCAAATTATAATTGAGAGATTCTTATTTTAAATGAGGTAATAATACAGCCAGGGTTCTTTACCCTCCTTAATGTTCAGTAGGAATTTTTCATTTAAAAATAAAAAATCAGTTTTAAATGTCCTAACGTTTGTTTTGCAGTTAGGTATAATGTTTTTAGATTTTTATTCCGTGGATAAATACAGTAATTCGTTAAGCTTTTTATATCTCTGAATATATACCCCCTCCTCGACGGTAAATGGAGTGTAAGTTATGGTCATAAGAAAGAAAGTATTTACATGATGTTAAACATTTTCTTTTTCGGTTTGTATAATGAGTAGAATGTGCTTAAATTTTCGTGCTTCATTTCTTTATAGCTTCATTAGTTGCGTAACATTTAATTGAGTATAATGGGAAAGTCTGTCGAAATAGTTGCAGAATTCTGTTAATTATTTCAGATTTAATTCATAAAAATCTGAATGAGTAGTATAATGTAATGCAGTTTTAAAATGTTTCATAAATATGGCAAATTTGGAGAAGTAATTCAATCTGCATTTGAATCAGTCTGTATTAAATTATTCTCTATGGTAAAGCCTACTAGCGTTATTCGTCTAAAAGAAATGCGTCTTTGGTAAACTCATTGGCATTACACGTGAAAAAAACTATGGAAACCTACTCTTACTGAGAACCGAATCCATGGCAAATTAGTATTTCTTATTCCTTTAGCTGCCTTGTTACTGGAAAGATTTCACACCTTTAAATTACTTTCTATTCGCTATAGTAAAATCTCTTTCAACTCTCACCACAATTTGCGGTTCATTAATTGACAGTTGTAAAATTGCATCTTAAAAAGCAGAAAAGCATTGTAGCTATTCAGAAGGCATAAAAGGAGCAGAGTTCTAATAATGCATCCAAAAGTTGTATGAATATGGCAAGTAATGTATAGCGTTAGAATGTATGCAACATTAAAAGATATTAAAAAAAATTGGATGTTTATTTTTTTAAATTTTAATCATAAAATGTTGTAAAAGCACTGTATATTTAAATATGTTACGTATTGTTATGAAAAGAGATATTATGCAATTTCTTAAAATAAGCTTGAAAATTTAATGAAAACAATTTCAAGCCTGGGAATGAGAGGGTTTTGTAGATGCAACAGATGATTTTTTATATAATTCTCATACAGCGAGTAATCCGATTAATAAAATTCTGCACTAATAATATCAAAAGTTAGGTATAAAATTCAGCGAGATGGGAGTAATTAATATTTTTTTTTCAGGACTAGCTGCAAAATGAATGACTAGTTTTATTTTATCTAATATGAAATCATTAATGTTTTTTCCATGAGCTATTTTTTTATAACTGTTTTATAACATTTTTGTGTTTTTGTACACAATGTTTAATTTTAATTGAAAATAATATAGAATCTTCAAGAATTTTTCACATAAAGGTATAGGACATTTTACATTTAATTATACAAGCAAAATGAATATTTTACCATATGAGAATGTGAAAAGTTAAATTTTATATTTTAAATTAATTTTAGTTCCAATGCTAAAACTATTATCGTAAAATTCTCTGCCGTATTTCAAGAAACTTAAGGATCAGAAGTAAATGTCTAGGATCAGTGTTTGAAAAAGTTAAGCATTTAAGCCTCCTTTTTTCAAACGTCTATTACATTAATGTAGAATACATTTAATTTAACACACATTGCACTTTGTGAGTTTAGTGCAAGGCAAGTACATGTATAAAGTAATGTGTTTTATGATATATTATATAAATCAGCTAAAGTGTAATAATACTGTGCACCACCAAGGGATTACTACTGACTTGACATTTAATTAAATATGTTCCACTATATCGTCATTCTGGCAGATGGAAAATCTGAGTATGAAAATTGGCAGCATTGATTATTGGTATTAATCAAGATTTATGGAGTACAGGACTAATATAAATACACAGGGTTCATTACATAAAGTGCTGGATCAAATACACTATGCAAGGTACAATTACTGGATCAAATTCAATACACAAGGTAAATTACTACAATACACACGGCAAATTACAATATACAAGATTCACTACATAAATATGCAAGGTTCTGGCGAGTACATTCATGATACAGTTAAAAGTCGTTAATCCGGAATGATCTATAATCCGGACCTCAAAGCTACAAACTTTCTGCTCATGCGTCAACGCATGCGTGTTTAATGTATAACGGACGGTATAAGCAAGTCTCTAATTATCTATTTCAGTTAATGTTGCAAATTGCGTTGTTCCTTAATCTTCGAATTAGATCCGGCTTATTATTTTTTGCAGACTGTTAGAGCAATTTTATAAAATTAAGCTTGAACTTTCGATTATGTCAAATAGAATTTCAAAGGATCTACAAAGCGAAAGTATGTTTTGATGTCCATCAAATAAAAAGTAGAATTGCTGCAAAAATGGATAAAGGCATATCCTTTGTTTATCTAACCATTCCGAAATCTGTTTATCAATTTCACGCTGCTCTTTGGGGGGGGGGACGGCCATTTTGTTTTCACGAAGTAAAGGCAGGTTTTTACTCAACATTTTTTTCCAACAGTCTGCTAGCCGAATTATGCTTATGCTAGAACTTTTATGGAACAAAAGTGCTTAATCATGATGAAGATTAGGTGCGAAATTGGGAGAAAGTGCAGAATTGCCCACTGCTTGCCGCGTTTTTAAGAATTGCACATACACGGTATCCATGTACACGTCGACCTATTTTCATTAAAAAAAAATCCCAGAATTGCACAAAAATGGCATTGTGCACACTCCTGACTTTATCCATGTACACTGCTAAAGTCCTACCTAGTAACCTTTATCGCCTTACCAAAATGTCGCCAATTTACCTGTTACCATATTCCAAAGATTAGCCACATTATACAGTCCATATTTACAGTTCTGTTACAGATATATGTATATATAATTAAAGTAAAAACATTTGCATTGACTTGAAGTTCTTTATGATTATTCAACTGCTTTATAAAAGGTACTTTCAGCAGATGCAAGTAGTAATGAGAGTAATTAAATGTGTAGTATGCAAGTACCTAGACTTACAAGGCTGTTTTTCTAGACTGCATTACGAACTGATGCTACATCCCAGTAGTATGTAACTTATCATAGCTAACTCAGAAAGTGATGATGCTATACTGAAATTTCTGGTATCTTTGTGCTAATACATTGAGATATTGCAATCAATATTGAGGGTGTGCTAGATGTAAATGGAATATCATTGTTACTGCACTAATCCTTGAGCATTAGTGTTATTTGATATAGCTGCACTAGGCTGCAGTTCACCTAAGAATGATTAGTTGAACTACTGTTCTCTGCTGCAGGGAGCAAAATATGTTGTGCTAAAACTGCTAGGGCATTCTCGTTTTTAATATTTTACTGCACAAAGCCTGATAATGATCTCAATCGTATGTTTGGCCTGATTATTTTCACATGCCTTCTCGACCCACTGCAGCAGTATGCAACGTTAGGAATTTTTAGGTGTTTATTCTTTGCTTTCAGACAGCTGAAAAGGTAGTGATTTGGATCACCTACTTATGCACATTCACATGAGTCTATGTCTTATTTTCCAAATCTATGAAGGTAATGGGAAAAGGGATCATTCTAGTGTAAAATTGGTTTGTGCCCCACTGTGTGTTTTTGTTATACATGAAAATTTTGAGCCAGTGTGTCCTTCCTGATTTACACCATCACATCTTTTTTGCCACTCCTGAGTTATATACCTGAGTGTAATTATCTTCACATGTAAAAATACTGTTATTTATTACTGATTAATGTAAAAGTATAATAATGCAATGAGTTAGTACAATATACAAATGATAATTAGTGGTTATTACAGTCAGATTTCAAGCTATTTCATAACCAGTTTCTTTGTGCATCATATTCTTTTAAGTATTATTACATTATGTTTTCTGAATGCTTGTTTTCGAATTAACACCTTATGTAAATTCAGTTAAATTTATGGTGATATGAATTATTAGTTTTGTCATGCTTATATATTTAGAAGTTTGTGTCCAAATCTTCAGATAATTTCATGTAGGTCTGTGATTTTACAAAAATGCAATAATTGAGTTTATTTTAGTTATAACTTACAAAATAGATTATTTTGTTTCTACCTTTTATTAGAATTATTCTATTAAACATTTCCTAGTCTGCATAAGAAACATGCTTTTTTGTTCAGAAATGTGGCTACGAATAGAATGTGTCTAATGAGGGTATGAGACTAGGTGGGAATTTCTCCACATATTCATTATCATCAATATTAGTGTAGATTTAAACTCCATACAGAGATGGTCTAATATTTTTTGAATATATTGGAAACTGCTTTCTAATCTTAACTTGGTTGATCTTTACAATATGGTAACTGGTAGTTTGGCGACATTTTGGAGGCGATAAAGGTTACTACCTGGGACTTTGGTAATAATGTGAGCAGTACTCAGTTCCGATTACGCATTATTTTGTGTGAGGGAAATGAGAGATCATGGGATATGTCATGTGATATTAATGGACGAATTACGGTTCTTTAATTGGAAAAGGGGGGAAAACGGGAAAAAATCTGGAAATTTTGTATTTGGCTTTATTCTGTGTTGTGGTGTGAAACAGTGTTCGTGAATTTTTGGATCCCATGGCCGTAACTAAAGTGAATTCGAAATGGGTATTTATGTATGTATTAATTTAATGTATGTGCTCATTTATATTTTAAGTAGTGTTTTTGAATTTAATTATATTTTAATTAAATGATAGTTATTTTGTGAATTTTATGTTTGTAGGAATTTGGTATACATTTTAGTTGAAGTAAATGTGCATGGAAATAATTTAAATATCTGGACACTAAGTATTTGTAATGGTTGCGGTATGAATTCGTTGGTGATGTGTATAATGTAATAGATGATTTAGAGGTAAAAGTTTTTTGGATATTTTATTTATTTTATATGTGAAAATGTTCATATTTGGAAAGAGTAAATACTTTTTCGCAATCAGGTAATTTCATATATGTTCTTTTTACCGGGTTTTTAAAGATTGAGAAAAATTGTCATGTATTTTCGTGGAAATTTTTCTAATTTATGAGAAAAAAAGCAGTGTACATGGATATAGTGAAGAGTGTGCGCAATGCCATTTTTGTGCAATTCTGGGATGTTTTTTTAAGTAAAAATAAGTCGGCGTGTACATGGTTTAGTGATATTTTAATTAAATGATAGTTATTTTGTGAATTTTATGTTTGTAGGAATTTGGTATACGTTTAAGTTGAAGTAAACATGCATGGAAATAATTTAAATATTTGACACTAAGTATTTGTAATGTTTGCGGTATGAATTCGTTGGTGACGTTTATAATATAATAAATAATTGAGAGGTAAAAGTTTTTGGATATTTTATTTATTTTATATGTGGAAATGTTCATATTTGGAAAGGGTATATACTTTTTCGTGATCAGGTAATTTCATGTATGTTCTTTTTACCGGGTTTAAAGATTTAGAAAATTGTCATGCATTTTCGTGAAATTTTTTTAATTTATGAGAAAAAAACGGTGTACATGGATATAGTGAAGAGTGTGCGCAATGCCATTTTTGTGCAATTCTGGGATGTTTTTTTAAGTGAAAATAAGTCGACGCGTACATGGTTTACGTGTATGTGTTATTTTGAAAAACGTCCAAGGAGTTTGCTATTGTGCACTTTTTCCCAATTTTGCAGTGAATATTTGTCATGATTAAGCAGTTTTGTTAGATAAAATTTCTAGCCTAAGTGTAATTCGGCTAGTAGATTGTGGAAGAAGTGTTCAGTAGATAAAAAGAAAAGAAACATGTCTTTACTTCGTGAAGACAAAATAGCGGTGGGAAAAAAAAAAATAGAGGGTTGCTGTAGGAGAGTTGGTCGCCAAATTTTCACCAAAAAATCGCCAAGTTACCATAATGTAAAGATCATCCCTTAATTTCAGTAAAAAATTTTTAAAAATTGCATCTTGAGCTTGGGATATGAACCCACATACTTTGAATTAAACAATTAAAAACTAGTAATATTTTCATAATATTTAATTTTATGGAACTACTCTGATATGCGCTCTCAAGTCACCAAATTTCTTGCCAAAAATTTTTGGCGAGAAACTCCACGCTGCCATATTGCTATCTAAATTTTTTGTCTACATTTCGAAATTTAAGCCTAAAATGTCTCCAAAAACGCGGTTTTCACGAATGTAAAAACCACGTTTTGAACACACAATTTAAGCTAAAAATCCGAAACAAAAACAAAAAATTTAGATAGCAAAATCGTAAAGTTTCTAACCAAAATTATTTGACAAGAGTCCATGTACACAATGATATGTTTTAACTTAAAAAAACATCTACGAATGGCACAATCTAGGCAACGAATGAATCTACGAACTACGAAGAATGCCATGTACACAGCATCCTGTTTAAACTTAAAAAAACATCTACGAATTGCACAATTTAGGCAACAAACAAATCTAATAACTACACCTCGCTTTAATAAATTAACATAATGATAAATTTCAAGGAATACCATGTACACAGCGTCCTGTTTCAACTTAAAAAAACATCTACGAATTACACAATTTAGAGGGTACGCATTAATCAACAAAATAACTAAAATAAATTTCAAACAATTTAAAAAAAAAAAAAAAAAAAAAAATAACGACAGAAATTCATACTAAAAACACTGAACATAACATTCTACAAAATAAGAACAAGAATAAAATAAAATGTACTTACCATGAATTAATGATTTTTCGAACAGCAGAAATATCAATTTCCTACTGCCTTTAACATGCCGCCACGTAATCACTATCGTATTTATTTGACAGCCAGACACACTATCCAGAAAATTCATACTATGGTTCACAAATATAAATAAAATAACAAATCACAAATCCCTACTTCTATCATGCACAGCCACTTAAAAATAATCTCCCAGACCCTCTTTCCACATCTCCAAATACCCACTGCCCCTCAACATGATGTCCACGACGATATTTCCTTTTGCCGAACTTCAATTCAACAACTTCCACCATTTTATCTTTCCCCCCTAGCTTCTCAGACACAGAGTATGACGCGAACCAACGAACTCCAGCAAAAGATTTTTCAATGTTAACAAGGTTGCCATACAGCACGCAATCTCACCCAAAACCAGCGCAGAACACATATCGCCATATTTGGTGAAATTAGGGCGTATATCAGAGTTGTACCAATTTTATTTATTCTTTTCTAGTTATGGTTTTCATTTTATTTATTTGTATGAAATAAGTAATTTATAGCTTAAATTTATACCAAAGTAAAGCTATCGTTTTCTGATCAAGCTTATTGTATTTCTTTAATCGCATTTTTTCCCATATATGTTTGAGTGAAATTGATGTAGCTGATATAATGTATAAGTACTTAAATAGAATATCTATATAAATAAATCACTACAGTGGAAGTAAACTCCTTATCTAAATTTTGAATAATATTTTCATAAATACTTTTTGTTTTAGAATTTCCAATGGAGTTTGTTGATTACATCAAAGCTCCTACTACTGAAGGTGTAACTCTTCATAGGCCTTTTCATCCACCTATGGAAGGTACATTATGCATATCTGGTCATCTTTTTATCTTATCATCTAGAGGAAAAAATGAAGAATTATGGGTAAGTTCTGGTTTTTGTTATTTAATATTACATATATCGTTACTTTTCCGTTATGCAATGGCCATGCTTTTAGGCACCTTTTTGCCATATTTGGCTTTTTGGCACTTTGTGAAAGTGAAGCAGAGCACAAGCCAAGACCCAATGATTTGCCATCTGGGGGACAGAATCATTTGTCGGTTCACACATACATACGAATACGTAGCAGGTGTATAACAAAATAGTATACTTGCACACAAATGTGTGGTAGATGCATAACAGAAAAGTACCCATATTTTGAATCAAATTTCAGTGGATTTTTATTTCACTCCTGGTCAGTAAATTTTTCCATTCTATTTTTAACCTGTAATATGTGTGAATGTTAATATTTTCTAGGTTAAAAGCAATGATTCAAATGTAATGAATTCTATAATAACTAATGAACCAAGGTCACACTATTTTAAACCTCCATGCTTTAAACTGTAAAAATGTAATTAGTGGCATCAAAAATAATTTGGTGATAAGTAGTAAAATGAGAGTTTATTTGTTGATCTGTAGTAATATACTGTAAAATCGGGTTTTATAGTGTGATGTCGTGTGCTTCAAGATGCCCACAATACAATTTTAAATGTATTCAAGTTTTTAAATTCTAGATATTAGATAGCAACACTTGTAATGAATAATTTATTAAAAATTCAGAGTTTTCTTTGTATCTTATTCTGTATGAATTTACTATTAAACTTTTGACAAAAACTGAATCTTAGTTCTAGCACCTTTTTGCCACATTTGGCTTTTTGGCACTTTGTGAAAGTGAAGCAGAGCACAAGCCAAGACCCAATGATTTGCCATCTGGGGGACAGAATCATTTGTCAGTTCACACATACATACAAATACGTGCAGGTGTATAAACAAATATGTATACTTGCACACAATGTGTGGTAGATGCATAACAGAAAGTACCATATTTTGAATCAAATTTCAGTGGATTTTTATTTCACTCCTGGTCAGTAAATTTTTCCATTCTATTTTTAACCTGTAATATGTGTGAATGTTAATATTTTCTAGGTTAAAAGCAATGATTCAAATGTAATGAATTCTATAATAACTAATGAACCAAGGTCACACTATTTTAAACCTCCATGCTTTAAACTGTAAAAATGTAATTAGTGGCATCAAAAATAATTTGGTGATAAGTAGTAAAATGAGAGTTTATTTGTTGATCTGTAGTAATATACTGTATAAATCGGGTTTCTAGTGTGATGTCCGTGTGCTTCAAGATGCCCACAATACAATTTTAAAATGTATTCAAGTTTTTAAATTCTAGATATTTAGATAGCAAACACTTGTAATGAATAATTTATTAAAAATTCAGAGTTTTCTTTGTAATCTTAATTCTTGTATGAATTTTACTATTAAACTTTTGACAAAAACTGAATCTTAGTTCTAGCTGGGTAACACTACATAACTATATGAATTAATTTTTGATTGCTAAAAACATCTGATTCTGCATATAGTTAACTATTTTATGTCCTTTTTTATTCTATTGTAATCTTTCCAACAATGGCATGCTATGCTTTACATTCATAAGTCTTCAAACATAAACTTGCCATTTCATGAATTTGTGTTTCAAGTTGTAAGCAGAGTACTAACATGGAAAAAAGAAATAAGATGTAAAAGGCATATCATTTTAATATTGAGTGGGAAGACAAATTTTGTTTGTTTATTATAAAGAAAAAGTCTATGCTTATTATACATTTCAGCTGTAGCAATTGCTAGAAAATGTGATGTGGAGAGCCTCATCACTGTTATGGCACCCACCAAACTCCTGCATTTCTGAATAGTGTAATCTTTGTAAAAAAGGTTCCTGACTTCTGGTATAAATCATTCTATTTCACAGTGCATCTGGGTACTTTCATAAATTAACAACATATCTTTAATAGATTAACAACATATCTTTAATAGATTATTATCCATTATTATCCAGTGAGGTGCATGCGTTTGTGTCAATTCCTTTACGTTTCAGCTTTGCAACCATACGTCTCCGAGAACATGAAAATTGTGGCTCCCCAGAAGCTGCCGTGTGTGCCATATGAAAATCATAGTCAGATTGTTGGCTGGCATCATTTATGATTAGAATTAGAGTTGTATCTGATTGCCTTTGAACCTCTTAGGAACTGCCAAAAATTAAAATTTCATGTTGCTTATACATGCCTGACTCCCATGTTTTTAGTCTCTTTGCCCCCAAATGCTGGAATGTTCACTTGGAACCCCATGTAAATTAAATGTATTTAATAGCTCAAAGCAAACACATACCTATACTTTATTATTATTTGGAAGAAAAATTTAATTTGTACCATGTGAAAACCAGTCTTTTAAGTAATTGTGTATGTTGTTTATGCTTAGAGCCAACTCTGTGGATATAAATGGACAGATTGATGTAAATTAAAATAATAATTACAATTATTTAAGTGCAGTGATGTAGAGGTTTGAAAGATTAAATTTTGAATAAAAATACAGAATTGAAAAAAGTAAAACACTATATAGTCAAAAGTCGTTAATCCGGACTCATCGGGACTTTGGTGATTCCGGATTATAGATCATCAGTTTAAATCTCGTAAGATGGCATGCAGAAATTCTAAAATTAAAAATATGAAACCGTAATTTATGAAATAAAGAACAATTATGATCTAAAGGGTATCAAAATTTACACACACACACAAAAAAAGCTTAATATTTATTTGTTTACTTTATTAAACATTTCTTTCAATGTAAGTTGTTTAGTTTTATGTGATAATACTTTCTCTTTAATTCTGTAAACAGACATAATTTCTTGTTCAGTTACAAAGTTCCGCTGTTCAAGTCCTGTAATTGCTGTGCCGAGAATACCGCCTAACTTGTCAATCGAAATTTTTTCGTTTTCACTAACCTCTCTGTCACCTTCTTCATGTCTTTATCAATTTTTTGCAGCAATTCCACTTTTTGTTTGATGGTTATCGGAACATACTTTCGTATTGTAGATCCTTTGGGAGCTCCAGCATCGGAAATTCTATTTGACATAATCGAAAGTTCAAGTTTACTTTTATAAAATTGCTCTTACAGTCTGCCAAAAATATTAAGCTGCATCCAATTCGAAGATTAAGGAACAACGCAATTATCAACATTAACTGAAATAGATAATTAGATAATTTTAGCTTATACCGTCTGTTATACATTAAAATGCACACGCGGAAAAGTATTCTGCGCTTGCACACACGCATATGCACAGTCGTAAAGGTCTTACGTTCACGTGTAAACGCCTATGCGCATGTGTTAACGCGGCACATGCGCAGAAAGTTTTTAGCTTTGAAGTCCATATTATGGGTGTCCGAATTAACGACTTTTGACTGTAATGGAATTTTTACCATAATAGAATAACATCAGCTAAACAATTTTCTGTTCAAAAGGCATATGTATCAATTCGATATTTTTTGTGAAAAAAGTATTCTGTGGTACTAGTCATATTGGTACAACTCTGATATACGCCCTAATTTCACCAAATGTGGCGATATGTGTTCTGCGCTGGTTTTTGGCGCCCTGTTGACATTGAAAAATCTTTCGCTGGAGTTCGTTGGTTCCCGTCATGCTTTGTGTCTGAGAAGCTAGGGGGGGAAAGTTTTATTGGTGAAAAATGATGAATTGAAGTTCGGCATAAGGAAATATCGTTGTGGCCATCCTGTTGAGGGGCAATAGATATTTGGAGGTGTGGAAAAAAGGTATGGGAGATTATTTTTAGTGGCTGTGCGTGATAGAAGTAGGGATTTGTGATTATTTGTTATTTTATTTATTTGTGAGCCAGAGTATGAATTTTCTGGATAGTGTGTCTGGCTGTCATATAAATACGATAGTGATTACGTGGCGGCATGTTAAAGGCGGTATGAAATTGATATTTCTGCTGTTCGAAAAATCATTAATTCATGGTAAGTACATTTTATTTTATTCTTGTTCTTATTTTGTAGAATGTTATGTTCAGTGTTTTTAGTATGAATTTCTGTCGTTATTTTTTTTTTTGAATTGTTTGAAATTTATTTTAGTTATTTTGCTGATTAGTGCGTAGATTTTTTTATTGTTATTTGTCAGAGTAAGTAGTTAGAGACATATTTCATACATTTAGAAAAATTTTATCATCATATTATCCTATAATTGAAAAGCTCCAGTTAATATATATATGTTATGAAATCATTCTATTCACATGCAATTTTATAAAATGTATTAAGCTGCAAAACTGTATTTTCAGTACTTTTATATGAAACTGTTGCCAAGCAATGGGATTTAATGCCAGTTATGAATACCTGTGATGTAACACTACACTTATATGCACTTTTATTTGATTATTTGATGCTACCACGTTTGAACCTCGGTAAGCCACCTTTCACTTTTAGGAACAAAGATATAAATTAGTAACTGTTATTGCTGTATTTTTTGGTACTGTTCTGTTATTGGGACTAGATTCAGAAATACAAGGTGTTTATAAAGTCCCGGATCCATTTTGATGTTTAATAACTCGTAAAATAATGAAGATATAAACAAACTTATGGCATTTATTGATGGAATAACTTACATATTTTCCTTTTCAGGTTTGAATATCTTTACTTTTGTAAATATCGTCTGCGCATGTGGTTAATTTCATTTTCCAGTCTAAATATCTGTACTTTTCTAAATATCGTCTGCTTATTAATTGCATTTTCTCTCTTTTGTTTTTGGCAACTATTGAAATGTTATGGACTTTTTCCTTTGGGGATTTGTAAAGGACAACATTTACAGGAGGAGAGTGTCGAACATTGATGACCTAAAAGCCAGAATTACAACCGCAATAGCCTCCGTGGATGCCGATATGCTTGCCGGTACCTGGCGTGAAATTGAATATCGACTTGATATTCTCCGTGCGACGAAGGGGACATACGTGGAAGTTCATTGACAAGGGTCATGAAACTTTTTGGGTCTATCTAACCATTTATGTTATTAATTTTAATCTATCTTTATTATTTTATGAGTTATTAAACATCAAAATGGGTCTGGAACTTTATAAACACCTTGTATATGTATGTACATTTATGTGTGTATACAGGCACATATATACATGTGTATATGAACACATACATCTTGCATACAAGCATACATTTCTGAATCCAGTTCCAATAACAAAAGAGTACTATTTTTTCCTTGCATTTTGGAAATATAAATACATATTAAAATTTGGAGCCTGCCTTCTACAGAGCAACAAGCATTGGATTATTTTCAAAGTTATGAGATCCTACTATCAAACAAATGTGTATTAATGAACACAACATAGAGTTCTAAACAAAGCTTTGGGTAAAATATTAGATGATCTGACAAATTAGTAGAAATTGAAAAAGCCTTTTTACAAAGCACAAAAGTGAAGTGGATTGGATACTGATTATTTGTTAATTAAAGGAGACTTCAACTTAAGAATTCCTCTGGAACAAGTGGCACAAATTTGATGTAATCTCTCCCCCTCCCCCCCCAACGTTCATGTTTTGTGGTAGGCAACTTTCATGGTTTATAGGATAATATGTAAGTTATAATATTATTTTCTTATGATATTTTATTTCCTTTTTCCTGCATCATTTTAGATGTTACATCGTATGGTTGATTGCATTGAGAAAAAGTTAAGTTTCTGTACTGGAACAATTGTATTAAAATGTAAAGATTTCAGAATACTTCAGCTTGATATACCTGGTGTAGAAGAATGTAATAATGTAGCAAGTTCTATTGAATACCTCATGAGTTTAGGTGAGTATAAATTTTGCTAAAGGAAAATATTTTGTAAAAATGTTCCTTTTTAAATCATTTATCTTTATCAAAATGAATAAATTTGTTTAGTCTAAATAATGTGTTTTAACCAAAAAATAAATAAAATAAAATGAAATAAATAATATTACATTAATAACTGGAAAATTTTTTTATTTGTTTTATGTTAATAGTAGTTACAAAAATACCAAAGCATTCTGTAAGACTAGTTTTCTGTCTGAAATGCTTTGAAATTTTTACTTTCTATCTGGTTTTCTAATTTGTATCCAAACAAAGCACAACTCGTGAAACATTTCATAAACCAGAATGGCATGAAGCAAAAATGTTGTTTCCAGGTTTTTGATTTAGAAGTTTTAGTGATTTTAAGGCATTATTTCAGAGATAGACATTCTATTCATATCCTAAGAGGAAATTATCTCTGAACTGTCTGACCACAATGTCTATGCTGCTAGGCAAATCAAGATGTAAAGAGAAGGTCAAATCATATGTATGAAATAAATAAGTATGAAACATATGACTTTCAGTTTACCTGATTTGTTGAAAAATCTTAAGTTTGGGTATTTACAGTGCCAAAGCACTTGTGATGCTTTAAGTGTAACCATTTCAGCCACTCGAAAAAATCCTGTCATGGCAAACTCACATGTGCACATTGTTCTGTGAAAGGCTGTGATAGTGATAATTGCAGTGCCAACCCATTGTGTGCTGATTGCAAAGGGGACCACACAACGTTTTCTTGACTATGCCCAAAATGAAAGGCAGAAAAAAAAGTACAAATGATAAAAGTTATGAGGAATATTTCATATATTGGAGCTAGATAGTTAGTATCAGAGACACAACCACATGAGAAGGAGTAAATCTCTTGTCGAGATCCCCCTGTTTTATACTAGGACTCCCTGTTTTATACTAGGCAGACTAGGAACTATTCTCATCTTTTGCAGAGGTCACAGAGGAAATTATAAAAGATGTGCCTGTGGATGATGTGAAAACTGTTACTGATGTGTTTATTCATGCAGCCACAGTCTCTATTCCAGTGACATCACCAAAACTTCTAAAGTATTCCAAACCATAGTGAAATTGTGAATGTAAAGAAGTGCTGGCAAAACAGAGGGAAGCTTGGGGAATTTTTCATAGGTACCTTACCTTGTTGAACTTTATGGTTTTTAAAAAAGCCGAAGCAAATGCAAGGAAAGTAAAACATCAGAGCCAAAGAGATTTATAGATATTATATTTGTCAACAATAATATTGTCTATGGCAAGTAAAAGAGTTTGGGAAAAAAGCATGTAACCACTCACTCTTCTTCTGGAGAAAGATGGCCAAGTGATTAGCAAAACAGAAGAAATTGCAAATACAGTTGGTAAGGCTTTTGCTGCCATTTACAGTGGCAGTAACTACCCACTAGCATTTTTTTCTGGCAAGCGTTATCTTGAGAAAATTTCCATTGCATTAAATTCTTCCAACTCAGAGCCTTATAACGACAACTTTACTATACTTTAGTTAAAGAGAACATTGGTAGAGACACATAGGTCTAGTCCAGGTTTAGATGATGTAAAGTTATGAAATGCTAAAGCATCTCTCCAGTAAGTCATTGACTGTCCTTCTTGCTCTATGCAATCAAGTGTTGAATTCCTTTTCCAGTGCATAGAAGAAAATGATTCATCCTCATAGTTAAACCAGGGAAGCCCTGAAGAATCCCTCCAACAGTCAGCCAGTCACTCTTATGAGCTGCATTTGCAAATTGTTTGAAAATTTATAAACAGCTGTCTAGTCTATTACTTAAAAACAATGCACTCTCTCCATATCAGAGTGGTTACCATAAAGGCTGAGCCACCATTGATAATGTGCTCTCTTTAGAAATCTCCATCCATAAAGCCCTGTCAATAGAAACCACTTGATCACTGTCTTCTTTGACATTGAAAAATATATGATAAAGCTTGGAGACATGGCATTTTCTGTGACCTTTATGCTTATGGCTTGTGTGGCAACTTACTAATCTTCATCTAGAATTTTTCAAGTAAGGAATGGCTCTGTTTTTTCAGATGTTTTTGAACAAAAAGAGGGTGTGCTTCAAGGCTGTGTTCTAAGTGTTATTATGTTTAGTCTAAAAATAAATTCTGTTTTAATAGAACTTCCTCCTACTCTTTCAGGATCACTGTATGTAGATAGATGACCTTCAGGTAAGCTGTCAAAGTGATGATATGAACTATGTTCAGAGAAAGTTGCAGACTGCTCTGAACGGGTTGACAGACATGCTTTTAGTTTTCTCTAAACAAGAGATTGTTTGCATGCAGTTTTGCAGAAACCGAAATCTCCATCCTGAGCCTTAGCTTCATCTTCAAGGATCATTGATTCCAGTCATATGGGATGTGAAGTTTCTTCGAGTGATGTTCAATCCAAAATTAACCTTTATTCTGCATGTAATGTAGTTGAGGAAAAAGGTGTTTCAAAGTGCTTAATCTTTTAAGAGTCCTACTGAACACCTCCTGGGGGGGGCAAAATGCAACTCAGTGTTTCACATCTACTGAGCACTGATCCTCTTTAGATTGGTTATGGCTCAGAAGTGTATGGAGATCTTTGATTTTATTGAAACTATAACAGCATAGTCTTTGATTTTATTGAAACTAGATCTGATTCATTAAAATGGGTCTGTGGATTTGCTATGGAGCCTTTAGAACATCTCCTGTCCAGTGTCTATTGTTTCTAATCTTTCCTTTAACTGAAATATGAATAATTGTCTGTATTACAAGATCATGTCACATCTCCATCACTTTTGTCAGCTTTGCATACTAGATGATGGCTATAACTTGTTGTTTGTTGCACGGCTCCATTTCACCAAGAGTTCAGGTGCTTCTGGAAAAATGCTATGTACCCAATGTAAATGCCTAAGCTGTAAACCATTTTGAAGTTCTACCTTGGCAAAATGCTGAAATTCAGGTGCTGGATATATTTTCAGCAATTTGGCCAAAGAAATACTAGTAAGGTCATATATAAACAACTTTTTGTAGAGCATAGATATAAATACAGCAGCTTTACTCACATCTTCACTGATGGATCTAAAGGCAGCTAGTCGTGAGGATATCATTTGTTATTTGCGACCATATGGAAGGTAGGCAGTTGAATGAGGCCTGCTCAGTACTCACTGCTGAATTAAATGTTGTGTATTAAGCCCTACATTTTGAATCTAAACTTAACAGAATTTGTTTTGTTTTGTTTTTTTGTATTTGTACTGACTCATGCAGTGCTTTAAAAGCTTTTGAAACATTTTCAGATACCCAGAACCTTGTGATTCTTGAAGTATTATGAGAACACATAAACCTGAGGAACCAAGGATACCAAATTCTTTACTGCTGTGTTCCTGGACATGCAGAAATAAAAGGAAACAAGCTGGAAGATATTACAGCAAAGTCTGTTGAGGAAATGTCTAGTCAGCTCATATCTTTTAGCAACTTAAAAACTGTCATCGAAAAACAAAATCTGAAATAAATGGCAGCTACTTTGGGACATGCAGTCAAATAATAAACTGGGAAGCATAAAACCTAAACCTAACCTATTGCAGTGCTGTAGCTAGGATGGGTCAAGGAGGGACATTTGCCCTGAGCACAGCATCCAGGGGATGCCAAATTGATATGAAATTTCAGAATGAAATCCTTTCCATTCTTGGCAAACAGAAGGGGTAGTAAAATCTTCTGTTGTCCTTGTGTCCTGAAAATCCTAGCTTTGGCTCTGAGTGTTGGAAAGCTGCTAGAAACAGGAGGGAGGAAGTCCTTTTAATGTGGCTCATAATCGGTCGTTCCCGAGCTACTCCTGCCTTTTGAAAGCTGAGTCTAAACCTTTGTGCTCAAATTGAAGTGCTCAACTATCAATGTATTACATTTTAACTGACTGCCCACATTTTAAGAAACTCTGTGTGAAGTATTTTAACACTTATGACTTGCCTGTAGACCATTTAATTGACAAAGAGAACAACTTTAATTTAATAAATATCTGAAAGAGTGTAATTATTATTATTTGATTTGATTTGGTTTAATGTCAGTTATGGTGTTTTAACGTCTACATAGGTTATTAGGAAAGAAAGGTCCGATTTCTTATAAAACATAATCCATCACAGATTTTTTTCAGAAACCTTTTTTTTATTTAATTCTTTATATGTTTCTCAGTTTTTCTACATAGTTTCCATATTTATTTAAACATTTGTCATAACATTCTACAAGCTTCCATATCCCTAAGTCATAGACATCTGTCACCTGTGAGGCTAATCAGTCTTGAACTGCTTCTTTCACCTCATCATCTGTGGTGAAGTGCTTGCCACTGAGAAACTGCTTTAGGTAGCAGAACAAGTGAAAATCGCTTGGTGCCAAGTTTGGACTGTGTGGTGGGTGGTCAATCTGTTCCCATGCAAATGATCTGATCAGATTTTGGGTGTGAATGCCATTGTCATACAGCAGCAAAACTCCGGACGTCAGAAGGCCACATCGCTTATTCTGTACCTTGCACCTCAGTTTAATCAGGGTAGCGCAGTAAAGCGGCTGCTTTAATTGTTGTTCCTTGCTGCATAAACTCGACTAAAAAGACTCATTGTCTAACCCAAAACATGGTTGCGTAACCTTGTGTGTTGAGATTGTGTGCTTGGCCTTGACTTTGACTACTGATGCCCTGTGACGCCATTCCATTGACTGATGTTTAGACTCTGATGTCATGCTAAAAACCCATGTCTGGTCCCATGTGATAACACCTTCCTTATGATATCGGTCCAAAAAATCAATAGCACAAGTCATTCTTTTCATTTAGCGTTCCTCAATAAGCAGCCTGGGATCAAGTAGATTGAGTCTAAATGGCAAATCCATCTGTTCACAAGTTAACAATGCATGAAATATATGACATAATAAACATGAAATACCATAAGCATAGAAAGAGAGAAGAGTTAGTTCTTGACACTGTAACAGTAAACAGAGGTTTTGGGAATGAAAATTCTGAATAATGCAGGTTGATTTCAAAACACTCTCAGGTCGTAATTTCAAAACACTCTAACTTTAAACCTACAGATCATAATGACTAAATATTTTACCAGAACAATCCTGAGGTAATGGAATTTTGTTTGGCAAAGGAAAAATTTGTTCTAAAATTTGTCGCTAGATGTCACTGTCAATGTTCACATTGCTGTTGTGGATGTATAACCGAAAGGAATCAATATACTTTAATGGTTTACGATAAATTTATTAGGAAAAAGCCAAGAATACATATTTACAGAGAAAACAGCTATAGTGACAAGAGAAGAAAGCTTCTCGAAACAAACACCTTATGGATGATTAATGTTTTTCGATATCCACAACAGATTGGAGGATATCTGTATTGATGCTATGAATGTAGTTCGAGATTCTTGCCTTCAAGTCGGCCAGATTTGCAATCTACCCACTCTAAACAACATTCTTCAGATATCCCCAAAGCCAAAAGTCACATGGGTTTAAGTCAGGAGAGCATGGTGACCACGCTGTTAGAAAATGGCAGCTTATGATTCTATCATCTCCGCTTCACACGAGTAGCACTGTACGGGGTAGCTCCATTTTGCATGAATATTGTGCTATCCACATATTGGTCTTGTTGAAGTGCCGGAAAGACATGGTTACACAATAGCGCTTCACCCCACTTGCTAATAACGGGACCTGCAGGTGTGATCTCCTTGAAGAAGAATGGACCGACGACAAGTACTGCCATTATTCCACACCACACAGGGATCTTTTCAGAGTGAAGAGGTAATGGCTGTAGCCAGAACATATTCTTGGTCGCTCATATCCTGCAATTTTGCATATTTACTGAACCTTACAAATGAAAATGAGCTTCGTCAGACTATGGAATGTTCCAAAGCCATTCATTATCCACTTCCATCCAGGCAAGAAATTATAGTGTAAATGATTTGCGTGTTTCCAGGTCAGCAGGTAGCAACTGCTGCACGTGCATTATATTATACAGATAACAGAGCAAGATGTTCCGTAGGACTTTGCACATCATGCTGATAGGCATATCCAACATTCGGCCAATTCCCTGTACAATACCAATTCCTGCATCACTGTTTGTCTTTTCTTGTAATGCTGTGGCTACAGTTCTTACTGCCACCTCCGAAACTTTTTTTCATCCTGTATCTCATTTCACATGGAATGAACCTGTCTCTTTGAGTTTATCTATCATTTTCCGCAGGCCATATGTGGTCATTGGGCCAGATTTTATACCTCTTAATCTCTGGAACTTCCTGATAGCTGTTAATGCACATTCACCATTCTGATTCTGTTAATACACATTCACCATTATGAAGCTTCACGAGAAGAGCATGATCCTTCTTCATCACAGTCATGATGAAGCACTCAGGCAAAATGTTATGTGTGTTGTTAGTGCTCTGCATTTTTATTTTAGTCATATCTGCAGTACACATATTAAGTCTTAGTAATTTGCATGCCAACAGCAGTGTGAACCCTGACAGCACCATCTGTCAGCATATTTTGAAACAATTTTTTTTTCCTTCTCTGAACAAAATTTCATTACCTCACGATTGTTCTAGTAAAATATCTAGTTATTGTGACAAGTAATTTTAAAGTTAGAGCGTTTAGAAATCACAGCTTTAATTATAATCACTGTCTACATAACTAGAAATTTAAACAATGCAAAATGAATTCAATAAAACTAATGGGACATTAAGCAAAATAATAAAAAAAAAAGAATAAATTTAGTGTTCTGAAGCACTGGGAATATGATTTTGTCACTAAAACACTACAGTTTTTAAAATTTCTTCAAAATTAATTTTTGCTCTGAGCACTACAATTTTTTTGTTTAAATAAACTGCATCAACTCTATTTAGTCTGTTGGTGGGGTGTATGTAGGAAGCATTGTTACAGCTCCAGTTGGTGGGGTGTATGTAGTAAGCATTGATATCTGGATATATAATCCAGGCAGTTCTCTGTTTTTTTTTTTTTTTTTTTTTTCTTTACAATTTATTTTTCCTTTACATTTTTTTTTTTTTTTTCATTTTTATATTGTATCATGCTTAATGTTTCTTTAGAAGGTTTTTTTTTCTTACTCTGTTAACCTTATTAAACAGTTCAATTTGATTCTGATTTAATAATAAAGCATATTTCAGAGTTAATAGAGTTTGTGCTCCAGAATACCAGATTTGTTCTTCTATTTACCTATTATGAAAGGTTTTTACTTAATTTTTGAACAAATTTATGGTTTTGATGCTGTTTCTTTACAATTCTAGTTCTTTTTGCATTTTTATTCCTCCTACTCCTGACTTAATAAGGTTTGGACTGATAAAGACACAAATTTCTATGATTGGTTTTCAATGGCTTATTGAAGTATTAAATTCTAATTTATAATTTGTGTCATTATCAGTTCAGAAACAGGCCCATTCATTTATTTCTTTCGTTACATTAATTCCCTGATGATAATGCACCAAAAGGTATAAATAACACTTTTTCTTTTACTCTTTTCATTTTTTATATATGTTGTTTTTGCATTTTTTTCATGCAATTAGTCACTGTGCTTCTTGATTTTATTTCTAAAGGTTTGCTTAAAGCTCAGTATGGGATGGACTTAAATGTTTTATTATTAATTTACTGGAAATTTTATGTAATAGTGCATGGTATAAATTAAAATTAGAAAATACTAACTGATAATATTTATTAAGCCATTTGACATACTGTAATTGCTAATTTGTTTAAATGGAGATACTGATTATTTTATCTTACAGCATAGCAGATTTTGATAATGGTTGCATAATTCTTGTATATACATTTGTATCTACAGAAAATCCAAGGTCCTTTTATCCCTTCTTTCATCGTGCAATGTTCGATATGTTAGAAGATGGTTGGACTTCTTTTTTAGCAGAATCTGAATACACTAAACTTCTTCAAAACAAAGAGGATTGGAGGATCAGCCATATTAATAAAGACTACTCAGTATGTGATCTTTGTCTATACATATAACTATAATGTTAATTCAAGTGACTTAATAAATGAAAGTGTGTCATCATTTGACTTGATTTAATGCATTAATCTCTACACCAACAATTTCATAGTTTTCTCTAGTTGTGTTTTGAAACTATAATTATTGATACGAGTATATCTGTTCTGTTAAATCTTTTGTTTAATACTTTTAGTAATCTTTTATCCTTTACATACGCTTGAAAATAAGGATGAAACTGTTGACAATTTTTTTTTTATAACAGATAAAATAATAGTATAGTTTAGTGTATTTAATTATGGGAAAGCACTCAAGGGCTATCTCCCTAAGAGGAGAGATTCTTTTGTGGAGGACTTTCTGAGAGAAACCGGTTCATAGACACATTACACATGGGGCAAATTACGAAAATACCCATGCAGCCAGTCCATTTGCCGGAGTGCTCAGCGATTTTACCATTTGGCCACTAGCAGGCCAGTTATAGATTAGCAGTGAGAAAGAAATAAAGTAGGCATATATAAATGTAATAACTTGGAAGAAGCTTGTTGTAATAACTTGGCATGGTAGATGGATACCTAAACCAGAAACCTACAAACGCAACCAAATTCAGTTATTTCCTTTTTATTCACAGTTGGTATACATTTTTATTTAATCCAACAAAAATCCAATCAGTGCTAGAGTCCCTTGTTTTTTACATGTGATAAATTTAAAAAATACATTTCTTAAAGGCAGCAATAACTTTTCTAATATAATCTACAACAGCAAAATAATAACCATTTTCTAATATAATCTACAATAGTGCTATAAGCATAGTGGAAGAGAGCAAAGATCAATAAACAAAAAGAGAGAGTGAGATTGTGCAGCAGAGACTTTTTATTCTGAGGCATGATTACATTAAGCAGTTTGCATTTCAGATCACATCACAGGAATCTGAATATTAAGCAAATTAAATTTCCCATACATAAAAAGGATGATGGGTTAAGATTTCTTCACATTTCAGGAATAATTGCGCAATAGAGATCACATAGCGGATTACTTTTCAGAATTACAGGATTACAGGAAGTAAAGATTATATTAGAAAAGTTATTGATTCGCGGACCTCAAAACCACCAAAATTTTCTGGTAAGCTTTGCTTTACTCATGCGCATTTGATTTCACCCTATTTCACCCTCCGTGCATAATAAAACATCTAGAGAGTCCCAGTTCTTAATTTCACTTCGGCACTAAATAAAATACCTTGTTATTGAAATAACAATCATTTTAGCATAAATTTGTACGATCAGTAATTTGGCTTTGTTGCTGAGTATCTGCTTGGCATACATCTCAAACCGAAACATTCCACCACATAGATACATCGTTGATCTGATGCCAACCTGGTGAATCATTATTTATTATACTTTCCTTTCATCACACATGTATATCAAAACATAACAAATTGAGTAATGACTCATGTAACATTTTTTTTATGTTAGTAATTCAATAATAAATAAGTGTGGTAACCTTTTATGTTGACATTATGTTTGGCGATGATTACAGATTTAAGTTAAATGCACTAAAAATTATGACGGGGGAAATATTTACCAAAATTTCTTTCCATGTGCTAAAAATAGGTTTTATTGATGATACTTATAGACACAAAGATTACATTTAGGGCTATTTGAATTAAGAATAACTGGTTTGTTATTCACATAAACCCAGAACCAGCGCCAGGGCTCGTATGGCTGCATTGAGTTGCAGAATTTAGGACTTACAGAGACTGCATCAGGTGGTAAGATAGCTAGCGCTGGCCCTCAATAAGGCTTAAGTATATGGTGGTAATTTATTTATTCAGAACTCTGATACGCTGATAAGCCTTAATATTCTGGTAAGAATGTTCTGCATGAATTATAAGAAATTTTGATAAGAAAGTGCATAAATATAATAAATAACTAAACTAATACAATTCAGGCTTAATTGTCTCAGTGCATGATAGAAGAAAGATAAAACTTAACGGAACAACTTGTCCTTAGTCGCCAAGCTCATGATGCATAGCCAAATATGCATAGTGAAAGATAGCTAAATTTGATGGTGATAGCCGCTAATTTTAAAGGTTTTCGGATATTGCAAAACAAAGGTGAAATTTTCTGATTAACGGATTTTTTAAAGAAATTCGGAGAAGCGGTAATAAATGAAGATGATCTAAAAGAAGTTTCTCATTGTAATTACAATGCTTCTCGATCATCAATCAATTAATGAATGGCGAAATCGGTAGTATGGTTCTAAATCCGAAAAACACTGCTACCGATAGTGAAGAAAGTGACAGAGAAGTTACTGAAAATGAGAAAATTTCGATTGACAAGTTAGTCAGAATTCTCGAAATAGCAGTTACAGGAATTCAACAATGTAAGTAAACAAGAGATAATGTCCGTCTACAGAATTAAAGAGAAAGTATTAGCACAAAAAAAAAAAAAAAAAAAAGAAGCAACTTACATTGAAAGAGATGTTTAATAAGGTGAACAAATAAATGTTAAGTTTTTTTTTTTGTCAATTTTGGTACCCTTTAAATCATAAATACTTCCTTATTTTCATAAATCACAATTTCATATTTTTAATTTTATGATTTCTACATGCCATCTTACTAGATTTAAATTGATGATCTAATATCCATAAATATCACAAATCCGGAATTACCGAAGTCCTGAGGGGTCCGGATTCAAGTCCGGGGATCGAGTTGGCCACTCCATGCGCATAATTGTTTCCTGTTGAAGCTAATCATATACGATGCGAGCCCTTTGCGGTCTTGCATTTTCGTCCTGTAACGGGAAAGCATCACCTATTGCCCTGGCATATGGGCGCACATAAGCATCAAGGATGTCACCTCTATAAACATGAGCATTCACGGTTCCCCTTGGAAAAACATAGAGGTCTGTGCATCCGTCCAAAGATATGCCACCCCAAACACTGACACTGCCTCTTCCATATGCATCTCTTTCATGGATGTTTGACGGATGATAACTGGTTCTAGGTTCTCTTCATATCAAATAACGCCTACTATCGCTTTCTAGACTAAACCTGGATTCATCCGTAAAGAGAATAATAGCCTTCCATTGCTCAGGCGTCCAGTGGACATGTTGTCGTACCCACTGCAAACGGTCCCTGCTATGGCGTGACTTGAGTGGCACGCAAATAGTTTTTCGCATCGCATACAGACCACCTTCGTGAAACCTTCTACACACAGTTGACGTTGACACCAACCTTCCGGTGGCTGCAGCAAGGGAGGATCTAAGAAGAGTCAGAGTAGCGGTTCTATTCCTGAGTGCACATAATGTCAAATATCTGTCATCGGCGCTCGTCGTAGCAGTTGGCCGTCCTTGGCTGAACCTCCTAGGTGCCGAATCTGTGATTTGAAATTGCCTCCAAAATCTATGAACGACAGAGCTCCCATTTAGCCATCTGGTCACTTCTGTTTGACTTTGTCCTGTCTCTAGTCTTCCAATGGCTTTCTATTGTAGTTCTGCAGGCAAATGATGCCTGGGGATCATTGTTACGAATCGGCTATCTCAGATTTCTGATGTCACTATCACAGTGAAATATGTGGGCTTGCTCTCAAACATGGACTTTTATGCTCCTCGCAGATGACATATTCCGAGTGCAGCGCCACTAATTTGCATATTGGAGTTTTACTCAGCTACTCTTACTTGGCAACATATTCAAATTTTACACAGTTTGGCTTATTTTTTAGGGAGTTATCGCTATTTTTGTGATTTTTCCTTAATTTATGATAACCAGTGTGTGTAGAACATGAAATAGTGAGGGTCTGAAATACAGTAAAATCTTGCGAAATGCTGAATTCCAGATAGTCGAGTGTATATATAAAAAAAAAAAAAAAAAAAAAAAAAAAAAAAAAAAAAAACAGAATTTACATTAGAAAATCCATATGAATAGGAAATTTTCCTTTGTAAAATTATAAAAACTGTCATCTTATTTGTTTTCAACTTGAATATCAAAACTTAAGATTTAAAAAAAAAGCATTTTAGTCTTATAAAAGGCAATTTCATATCTCGATGAGCCATAAGCCTCATCCAATTATGAAATTCCACTGAACATGAAATTTTGGTGGAGATGTCACCATCATTCTGGCAGAAGTTTAAATATTGTTCTTTATTTGTTTAAGTAATAGAGAGATAGAAATTATGGATATAGCATATAAAAAACTTAAATCATGTATCATGATTTTTCATGTTATATTGCCATTGTTTATCCATTTTCAAAGTTGTGTATTGTTGTATTGCCTGGATCCTATAACTCTGAAAATATTTCATTTCATGCAGTCTCGTTTATGAATCATTTTTTTTTTTTTCAGTTGCAAGAAAGAAAGGGAACTTGTATCATTCTTTACAAATGTTAAACCAGTTTATCAAGAGTTAATTGAATTCACATTCAACCAAAGTGAACTTCTGATGATCATGTTGTAACCCTTTTGTTGGTGCTAAATCACACTGTTTGGCAACAATAATGTACATACTAAAAGTACTATAATAGCCATATTAATGGCTCTATAATAGCCATTAAAATATCTTTTTTTATTGAACCTTTCAAAAGAAAATTTTTTTCTGAAATTGTAAAATATTCCTCTTGGTTGATTACTGGATAATCAGGCTTTTACTGTACTTGTTTTTTGGTAATATTTAATTATGCTACAACATGCTGCTTTTAAATACATTCCAAAATCATCAGGAAGAAACCTTGAGCATATGCAGAAAAGCATTTTACCTACTGTTCATGTTTTCGAGAACTCTAGGAAGTCATCAGTGTATTTCTGAACATTGAGGTTTTTATTTGTCATCACTCAGAATTCTGAGTATTTGTCTTAAAAAAAAAAAAAAAAAATTCATGGATGTTACTAGATAACTTAATAACAGTTATCTAGTTTGGTCTGTATTAATGTCCAGAATGAATCTGTAAAGAATGTTTGGCTTATATCATATGACTAATACAGACTTTGAATGGTTTTCTATTCAGTAAATGTCATCATTTGCCTGATTTAGTTGTTTATTCTTCTGTCATAAAGTGAGAAATACTCAAATTACTGACTTTCTAAATGTAGTTTCTACAAGACCTTTTATTACCCTAGCCAAATACAATGCTTCTGGTAATAGTTCGGTAGAGTTTTCATTGAGTGTGAATGGATGTCCTGCATCTATGTCTTTGTTAATCATAAATATCATTCTTAGATACACTGAATCTTTAAGATGTAGAATCATGCTTAGAAATTTCATGGCATATCTCTTCAGCATATGAATGGAAGGCATAAGCAGAATCATATTCAACCATCAGGCCCCATCTGACTGTTTGTGGTTTGCTTTCAGATAGCCAGTAGCACTTCATTTCAGTTCATTTGGAGAAGAAAAAATATCTTGAAATAATTCCCAGAAAATAGTTATTTTGAATTTTTTTCATATTGATTCAACAATACTTCTCTATTTGCATAGATTTTAAATGAAATTGAATTGATTTTGAGGGTGATCAGACATAAGTCACAGTTTTTCAGGAAGGAAAAAACCAATGTTGCCAAATCAAGCTTGCCTTTTTGCCTAATTTAAAGTTTACATTGCCCTATTTCCCTTCCAATTAGAGTATCTGTATTAGTTATAAGATCAAATTTGGTAAATATTTCATTGTTTTTAATCAGTTTCTTTTCAGTTTTTCCCCACTTTTTGGAAACCAGTGAATCTTATGAAATTGATAAATGTTTTCCTTCTTTTTTTTTTTTTTTTTCTTTTTTAGTCTTATTATATTTTTTCATATGTAATCTGTTTTATCATAAATTTTTTTTTATTTATTTAAGGTTTGCCCAACTTATCCACAACTTGTAATTGTTCCTAAAAGTATTGATGATGAAACTTTAAAGATAGTAGCTGGTTTTCGTCAGTTTGGAAGGTTTCCTGTGCTCAGTTATTACCACAAAGAAAATAAGGTAGTTCGTTTCAGAATTATGTATTAAAAATTATCTATAGAATTACTTATTATATTTAATTTAAAAATAAATAATACTTTAATTAATTTAACTTTAATAATGTAAATTTGCTCTTTATGTGTTAAGATATTTTTGTTTAACTCTTTTCTTAAAATATTTCATGTGTAACAAAATTTTTGTTATTAATTCTTAGGCTGCTTTATTGCGAAGTAGTCAACCAATGGTTGGTGCTAACAATAGACGTTGTAAAGAAGATGAGCGATTATTGAATGTTGTTTTGGGATCAGGAAAGAAAGGATATATTATTGACACTCGATCACAGAATATTGCTCTTTTGGCTAGAACAAAAGGTAAGCATGGACCTTTCGTAGTTACATTCTTAAAAAAATAAAATATAAAAGTATGTGCTGTAGAACTTAATAATAGCTATTGCGGTTAAAGGTGTAATTGAATATACAGATAGTAATGCATAACATTTGTAAGTTTGTTATGATGTTTTCTTCGAAATAATATGAAAAAAAGATAATTATAAACTTAGCCATATATTAAAATTTCCTGTTTACTTCTGTTTACTTTTCAGTCATGAACTGGACATGATTGCTGCAAAATAATAATTTCATTATCAAACATTGTATATCTATGTCATGGGTTTTTTCTTTCATCAGACCAAATTATGATGAAAAAAATTCAACATTTTTATCTGTCCACTACTGGGAACTTGGGCATCATGTAGGTCTGGGAGTTAATGAAATTTTAAAAGGTATCAATGATAGTCAAGAGAATGATAGCCAAATATCCATTTGCAATTGAATTAAAATCATTGTTTGCAACATTTTATAGACATAATAACCATTTTCACCATTTTATAGATAATTTAATATTATGAGAAAATTTTTCCTTGAAGCTGACATTTCTATGGTGACACAAGTAATAAAATTGGAAAAATATATATTCTATTTGGCTAATATATTTTCGTAGTTTGACACCACATAAAATAAAGTTTAAAGAAGAGCTATTTAACTTTTTGAAGCTAGAACAAGCATCTTCAATATTCATTCTAGAATTGACTTCCTTTCATTGACACTGAATCAAAACAAATTCCATTACTTTGATAATTTAATGTGATTGACCATTGTTGAAATGGATTGTATTTCCTCAGATGTATTGTTATATATGAGCCACTTGTAAAATTTAAAGATTTTAATTTTCTCTTCCAAGACGCTGAAAATTTGAATATGTTAGCATGTTTTATAGAACTGCTGAACTAGAATATATCTGGTTTTGTTATTATGATACAAAAAGAGCTGATTGCACTGAAGGAAGGTATTCGAGCACAAGTCATATTTAGAACACTGGGTATGTCAAGTTCAGAATTTAAGTTATCCCAAAGAAATAATATTCCAAAATAAGAGTTATTCTTGATCCAACATTATTGGCTTTTCTGTCTTCTTACTTAGTGGAAGCAGGCTTTAATCATGTCAGTAATTTAGTACAATGTACCTGAAAACTTGTTTATATTTGTATAATTAAAAATGACAATAATACAAAAAGTAATGAAACATAAACCTAATAAATGATTTTTCAAAATTTTTGTTTATAATCTTAGTTATTTTATGTTATTTATGCACAGTTATTTATAATATGATTGTGTTGTATACTATAAAGGAAAATATGAATGAAGTCAATGAAGAAAAGTTTTTAAACGTGGAATTACATTCCCCCATAGTGGTCTGATGGAAAAAAAATTAAGATAATATTTGAGGTTTGTTTGAATGCTTATATCTTCGAAACTGCAAATGTTACAATCAATCTAAATACATCATTAGATAAATGAAAGAACACATTAACACACACTCTAAAGAATTTTTTATTTTTTATTGGACGAATGGTGTATGCATAGTAACGCATCAAAAATCACAAAATTTTGGTGATGTCAAAGCTGACTGCACATGCATGGCCATGTCTGAATAGCAAGGTCATCTGGTAGAAAGTCAGTGTGTTTGGGTGTTGTATTTTATGTGAGGTGAAAGGCATTTGATCTACTGAAACATCATTTTAATCTCAATATGGTGCCAAGTAACCATCCATGTACACTTGACAATTCATTTATAGATTTAACATTTACTAGGAATATAACTGCAGATATCTTAAATTATGTATCTTATTTCTCATATTATTGACTAGTTGTACACAGGGTCATTTTAAATGAATAAATGTAATAAATAAAAAATAAAATATATGTGTGTAAAATCTTTTGTTGGTTTTATTGGTTCTATAACATCCTCACACTATTAAACATCACATGATCTTTAAATTAAAAGAGAGAGCCTGCCGTCATTTTTTTTTTCCTTTGAAGTTATCAGTGGGTTGGGTATCCCTGATCTAGATGTTGATGATGATTTCATTGCTGATTTAAGTACTATGTAAATCATTCTCCTATTTTAATAATATAAATTTCTCAAAGATAAATATTATACTACATAGCAGTGTTATTTATTTATTGCAGTTTAATATCCACAAAACTTTGTTGATCGTGATTGCAGCATTTACAAATAACAGCTGTTAGAAATGTAATTTGTCTTCATTCAAACAAATTTCTTACTGTAAGTGTACACTTATAAGTACTTCAAATTTCTGAGACCTTTAAAGAAAATAGCAAATACTAAATCTATCACGAATGTTAACAAGAGTCACTTGATGCTTTGGTCTGGACATGCCTGCAGTGGTGAAGTCGACATAATATAATATTGGCAAGTTGTTGCCATTTGGTTCCAACCTTGAGTATAGTAGATAAGAAACAAGTATTGGATTTTCTCAAGAGTCATGTTTAAATACTAACAAAAAATTAACACACAGTATTCAATTATAGATAGGAAACAAGTATTGGATTTTCTCAGGAGTCATATTTAAATAATAAAAAATTAACACATAGTATTCAATTATTTGTTATAGTACAACTTTTATATTTTCTGCTTCATTTTCTCCTCATTTTTCATCTGATGACATAGTTATTTTACACATAAAATATACACACTTCATAAAGGTACAAACTGAAATAGCTTGAATTTATTACGGCTTCAGATTCTTTTGTATTTTCTTATCTTACCTGCTTAATTTGTCATTGCTATAAACAGAATTCATACTTAGTTGTCAGGTCATTATTCTAGATTTAATCCATCTTGCCTATCTGCTTTGTTTGATTTGATGAAGAAGAGGTATGACAGAAGAAGAAATGGGAAAAAGTCTCTTATATAATTTACAGTAATAGCTTTAGCTTCTGATATTCTTGGAATAAATGCTCTGTTCTAAAACTTTCGTTGTTATGAAGTAAAACTTTATTTTTCTGTCTGTTTGAAATTTAAAGTAGTTTCACATGTGCAAGTTATTCAGCGTGCCTTTTTTCATATTTAAGAGGTATGTTCCGGGTAACAATCTATATCCACAGTGAATACACACAATACTGACAAAAGAGTGAACATTCACATAAAAATTCACAAACTGAATGTAATTTGTACGCTTAATTCTTTCCTAGGTATAAAAGGGCTATTCTTTAGGTAAGGTTAATTTGTAAATAGTGTTTGAAATTCCACATGTGCATGAAAAGGATCCTGACATTCTTTGAGCATAATCAGATGAGCTCATGGGGCAAGTTTAGTGCGAATTAAAATGTTTAAGAAAATTAAATGGCCACTGACAGTTAAAATATTCTAAGTCATCAGTTTAACAACAAGAAAGCTGAGAGCTGTGCATATTCATCTCCAAGTGTGTGACGTGTATGGTCAAAATGCAGTGGGTGACAGAAAAATATGAAAATGGGCAGCACTGTTCAAGGAACATTGAGAAAAATGTCTATGATAAATCACATTCTAGTCATGTATCCGCAAACACGGACAACTTGATGTAGGCAGTCAATATTCAAATTCATGCAAGCAGGAGACCTAAGCAAACGGCTTGGAGAAACAAAAATCATTAATGGAGATGTCAAAACACTCATCAGTAACTGATGAGGTTATTGAACCCTCTGAGCATTGTGACCGGGTTTATCCGGTCATCAGAAGTTTTGCTACTTGGTATATATTAGCTTACAATTTAAGACATTTTGCTTTCCTACTTTCTTTTATAATGTAAATATCATCTTAATGAATGTAAGTTTATGAAAATGCAGACTAAAATAAGTAATTATACAAACTGAAATAATAAATGCTGTTTAAATACTGGTCTTCATGGCGGATCTAAAATCCTGTGCCACTCAGAGGCTTAAAGAAATGTTATGGAATAATCAAGAAAGCATAATATTTGGGAAACTTACAATAGATAGAAGGCACATTTTTTCAAAAACCATGTACAGTTCTAAAAAGGATTCATTCTATTGTTTTTTTTTTTTTCATTTTTAAAAAAGCAATTATTTAGAGCTGAAAGTTGTATGATATAATAGTTGCTATTATAGTATATCTTAGCAGTTTGCAATAGTAAAGTATGTAGTTTTTGAAATATTTTTTTTTTTTTCTTTTCTCGTCACATTAATAGGTGGTGGTTTTGAACCTGATGTATATTATCCATTGTGGAAGCGCATGCATAAGCCTATTGACAGATATTTCAATCTTCTAGAATCATTAACAAAATTAATTGAAGGTGAGTGCATTATAAAATAATGCAATTTTTAAAACATTTTATATGCCTTTCCTGTTCTTAAATTGTTGAACACTTTAAGTTGTAATTAATTGTGCGTTGTTTATTATATAAAGTTATATTTTAAGAGAATTTTTTTTATTTACTAAGATAAGAGTAGAAGTGGAAAATCATAATTAATTAAGTTATTTTCAGCCTGATTGTAAAAATATAAAATAATTTTAAATAGGTTTTACCACATCTAAATATGCATAAAATATTCGTGACCAGATGTTACTCAATGTGAGGGCATAGTTATGTATGGATGAGCTTACAAATGATGACCATCTGTTGAGACCATGTCTGTTTTGCAGTGAAAGTGATACAAATAAAAGATTTTCAAAGAAGGATCTATTTTCTCAATTTACATGCAATTTTTTTTTCTACACAATTTCTTTCATGGTGTAAACATTTATCATAATGGAAAATGAGCCCTCCGCTTAAAACTTTTGTTTTGATGATAATAACCAGTTACTGATGAGTGTTTTGACATCTCCATTAATGATTTTTGTTTCTCCAAGCCGTTTGCTTAGGTCTCCTGCTTGCATGAATTTGAATATTGACTGCCTACATCAAGTTGTCCATGTTTGCGGATACATGACTAGAATGTGATTTATCATATTCTAGTCATGTATTCTAGTCATTTTTCTCAATGTTCCTTGAACAGTGCTGCCCATTTTCATATTTTTCTGTCACCCACTGCATTTTGACCATACACGTCACACACTTGGCGATGAATATGCACAGCTCTCAGCTTTCTTGTTGTTAAACTGATGACTTAGAATATTTTAACTGTCAGTGGCCATTTAATTTTCTTAAACATTTTAATTCGCACTAAACTTGCCCCATGAGCTCATCTGATTATGCTCAAAGAATGTCAGGATCCTTTTCATGCACATGTGGAATTTCAAACACTATTTACAAATTAACCTTACCTAAAGAATAGCCCTTTTATACCTAGGAAAGAATTAAGCGTACAAATTACATTCAGTTTGTGAATTTTTATGTGAATGTTCACTCTTTTGTCAGTATTGGCTCTTGTATGACCTATTAATTACTTTTAGTCTAGAAAATCGGATTCCAGTTGCCACAAGGACTCTGTGTTTGGGAGAACTACCTTTCATAAAAGATTCTTTTTATACATTACATATAAAGTTACATATAAAGAAGATTAAAATCAATCTGCAAGAAAAATGCTATTGATATTCATTAATTTTATTTGACTTTTAATTATCTCTGTGTTTCAAGGACTTATTCATATGATATTACTATTGTTGCAGAATCCTATTATAAGTATATAATGAATTTAAAATTACTTTTTACTATTTTTTTTTTTTTTTTTTTTTTTTTTTTTTGTCTTTCCTTTTGGGGGAGACAGGGGAAAAAGGATGGAATCTTTCAAATGCCACTCTAGTATATGAAGTCCCTTCATTGCTAGCAGAAGTTAAACTACATGAGACTAACTTCTCACCCCCTCGAAACAAACTGTAATCCTGACTACTAAAAACTATTTTTGTTTATTTTTATTATACGATGCATATCTGCATCATTTATTATGATTCACAACTGTTAGATTTGTTTTTATAATTAGCAGTATCAATTTTGAAAATGTAACATAAATAGATGTCTATAGATATCTCTTGTTATAATGCGTATATGTAATAGAGACTTCTGCATCTTGTTCATAAGCTCAAACTTTCCTCTCTTTTATGGAGCACTGAAATATGACCATTGTTCTTCTTCTGTACTGATCATAAACTAACCTGAAGGTGACTAAAATTAAGACTCACATGAATCTAGTAGTCTCAGTAGGCAGCCAGAAGGTCAGCTCAGTAACATTTTCTGGATCCTTTATATTGATCTTCGGAAATTTACATTGAAATTATTATGCCAGAGACAACAAAACTTATGAATTAAACTCTCTTGTTTCTGAGTCTATTTTCTGAGTTTAAGCCTCTTTTCTAAAATGTTTGCTTTAGCATTCCAGTGATAATAAGAACCATAACAGAGATGAAAATACCTTTTCTTTTTTTTTTTTTTTTTTTTCACATAAGGATCACTTTTTAAAATTTTTGGCGGAATTCTCACCATGATAGTAGGTCAATTACAATTTGTCAGTCTTCATGATTTCTGTTTCCTATTTTTATCTATTCATTTTGTAAAAATAACTACCGTTATGAAGCCACATCCTGGCTTTCACAAAAAAATCTTATGTACTTATTTTTTGATAATTCTTAAAATTCATGTTCATTAATTTCATTTATCTTAATGCAAAGTTCCTTTTTATTGATATTTCAATTGATTTTTTTAATTCCTTGTTATAAATTTCCATTTGGGAAGTTATTTCCTTGTTATTTTGGAATAATATAAATTATTATAAATTCCTATTTGGGAATTTATTTCTTGTTATTTTTGGGACTCAAATTTACCATTTTTTCCAAATGGCAATGTTTCCCAGGCATGCTAATGCCCTGCTAGGACAACATTATGTAAGAGTTCAAAACATTGCAAAGACTGTGCTGTAAATTATTCTAAGTGAAAAAATTCCATTATCTGTTTAAACTGTAGTGACTAATTTTTATCTGTGCATTTTGAATGAGCTGTATAAAAGTGTATTAAATTGTGTATGCATATTTGGTGATACATTGAAAATTTGTTTCAGCTTGTAATGATAACACTTGTAATGCTGATAAGTGGCTGTCACGTTTAGAATCATCTGGATGGCTAACTAATGTAAAGGATGTTTTAACCTGTGCATGTTTAGTTGCTCAATGTTTAGATCAAGAAGGTAAGATGTAGTAGGATTTTAAGTAACTGAGATTTGTATTTCACAGTCTTAAAATATTTTTGGTATTTATTTTCTCTGTGTATGATATTACTGGGAAAATATAATTTTTAAGCTCATTATGTTTAATTTTCCAAAAAAATATTTTGTTTGTAAAACCTGAAATTACAAATTCATTAATTGTTAGTAAATTTACTATGAAATCTTCTATTTGCAATCTTTATAATAGGTTTTTTTAGATTATTAAAATTTCCCCTCTTTTTTTGAGGGGTAAGTGGGGGTAATTATATTAATCTTAATTCTAATTTATTTATGTGTTTACTTTTAATAACTTATTTGCTGTATTTAGTAATAGTATTTAATATTGTAATACCTCAATATACAGTACAAAGTCCGTAATCCGGACTCGTCGGGACTTCGCCAATTCCGGATTATAGATCATCAATTTAAATCTGGTAAAATGACATGCAGAAATCATATAATTAAAAATATGAAACTGTAGTTTATGAAATAAAGAGCAATTATGATCTAAAGGGTAAAAATATGAAACTGTAATTTATGAAATAAAGAGCAATTATGATCTAAAGGGTATCAAAATTTACAAAAAAGAGCTTAATATTTATTTGTTTACTTTATTAAACATTTCTTTCACTGTAAGTTAAGTTGCTTCATTTTTTTTTTGTACTAATACTTTCTTTTTAATTCTATAAACAGCCATAATTTCTTGTTCAGTTACAAAGTTCCACTGTTCAAGTCCTGTAATTGCTGTGTTGAGAATACCGACTAACTTGTCAATCGAAATTTTTTCATTTGCAATAACCTCTCTGTCACTTTCTTCATTATTTAAGCGGTATTTTCTAGATCTAGAACCATACTACAGATTTCGCTGTCCGTTAATTGATTGATGATTGGGGCATTGTTCCTTTTTCATTTTGCTTATGTCATATATAGTTGACTTTCCAATGTCGTACTCCTCGTATAATTTTGAGACGGATATACCTTTATCCATTTTTTGCAGCAATTCCACTTTTTGTTTTGATGGGCATCGAAACATGCTTTCGCTTTGTAGATCCTTTGGCAGCTCCAGAATCGGAAACTCTTTTTGACATAATCGAAAGTTCAAGCTTAATTTTTATAAAATTGCTCTAACAATCTGCAAAAAATAATAAGCCAGATCCAATTAGAAGATTAAGGAACAGTGCAATCTGCAACACTAACTGAAATGCCTTAGAATCAGTAAAGACAATTTTAGACTAGCTTATACCATCCGTTATACATTAAATGCACATGCGTAAACGCATAAAAAAAGTTTGTGGCTTTGAGGTCCGGATTATAGATCATGCCGGATAATGGATGTCTGGATTATGGATTTTGTACCATATTAACTTTCATTCCTTATTGCTACATTTTCTTAGTCTGTGATCCAATGGATTCTCTTAATTACTTTTGAATTTTAATGTATCTTTTTTTGGTAGTTGCTTATGGTCTCAGGTTTTAAACAGTGCCAATGTATATTGCAAACTTTAAGCATGTGGTTTTAAAATCTAATTATGATTCTTTGTGTGCTAATCTTGAGAAGAACAAGTAAAATCGCCAGTTTGACAAAGTCCATTAACAAGAGGGATAATGTGTTTAAAATTGTAAGTTTAGAGGTTGCATGATGGAAGTGCTTGGCACAAAAAATGTTTTTGATGCTATATTAAAAGCAATCATGGAAATATGGCAGGCTCAAAATATATGTGAGAAACTTATTTGCTGGGTAAGTTCTTAATTTTTTTTTTTAATTAAAACACGGTGATAATCTTGGCACCATTTCAATAGCAGGGCTGTAGTAATAAGAAAAGACTTTTTTTTATTTTAGAAACAAGACTATATTTTTTAGAATTTGTTAGTTTAAAGGTAGGAAGATGCTGTAGACATTGTCACACTGTCTATGAGGATATTTCTAGCTGTCTCACAAGGAAAGTTATCGTACCCGTACTCTCAAGTGTTATTGGCCTGTGCTGCTGAGGTCTTTTTTTGGCATTTTGTAGGCCCTCTTTGACCCATCTATTCCATATTCACCTGACACTCATGGGATGACTAATATGAGGGAATGTTGTTAGGAGTTTTTCCTTCTTACATGAAGCATAGCATGATCTTTACACAAGGAACCAAAATTCAGATATCATTTCTAAATGAGAAACCTGCTGTGCAGTTCTTCCATTTATATACAATATAGATAGCATTTTTCATACTTGCTTTGTATGCATGTACTGGAATGCTAATCATTAGCATATTCCATTGTGTTGTACCTTTCATACAGATTTGACATTTGCCTTCATGGTGTAGCAATTTTAATGTCCAGATTCAGATTTTTATAAAAAGTATTTTGTTATTTGAATAGTATATTTCAAAATAAAAATGTTCACTAGTTACAATCATGTCCATAAATTAAGGATAATGCAAAATCAGGCAAAGGAAAAGTTAGAAGCAAAACATATTTGACTTATTTGTAAAGCTTATTTATTAAACAAAAGGTAAAGAGCAAAAAAAGATGCTATATGTTTGATATTATTAAAAAAATTAGTGATTTTTTCTCCCTGGAGCAAATTACAAAAAAAAAAAAAAAAAAAAAAAAAAAACCTTTTTACAAAAAAACAATATTACATAGTTGGTATGATTGTTAATACTTTGTATGTCTCCCAGACGATGCAATACAGTGCGTACAACGCCTAGGCATGCTGAGTATCAAGTTATCGATCTGATCTTGGGGGATATTACACCACTCAAAAAGCAATGCTTTCCGAAGTTCCGGTAGACATGTAGTAGGAGGTTGATGGGCTGCAACTCGTCGGCCAAGCATGTCCCACACGTGCTCTACTGGATTCAAGTCCGGTGAAAATGCTGGCCAGTCCATACGAGTGATATCCTCCGATTGAAGGCATTCACTTACGATGTTTGCACGGTGAGGATGGGCATTGTCATCCATAAACACAAATAGTGCACCCATGGTGCCCCGAAACAAACGTACATGTTGTTCCAGTATGACGTCCCAATACATTTGGCTTGTCATGGTTCCAGTTTGAACATGCAGGTCAGTTCTGGAACCCAGAATAATTCCACCCCAAACGAGCACTCCTGCACCACTGTAACGGTGTCATTCAATGATGTTTTATTGGTGGTAACGGGTACCTGGATTTCTCCATATGAAAGTCCGGCAAGAATCAGACTGCAAGCTAAACCTGGACTCGTCGTAAAACATCACACGAGCCCACTGTTTCGGTGTCCACAATGCATGCTCTCTACTCCAGGCTAACCGCAGGCGACAGTGAGTTGCAGTAAGTGGAACGCATCTGACAGGTCTACGAGCATATAGACCAATCTTCCCTAAACATCTGTACATGGTCTGCCTTGAAATTGTCGTACCGGTGGCTAAAGAGAGCTGACGAGACAGGTCTGAGGCTGTGCTCCACCTGTTTCTTTTGGCAGTAACTGCTAAATACCGGTCCTCATTCCGCATTGTAACTCTGGTGTGACCTGTGCTGTAACGTCTACTCACATTACCATCATCTTGGAATTGTTGCCAAAGCCTGGAGATGACACTCTGGGCAATTCCAAGTTCGTCTGATACTTCCAGTTGGGTACGCCCACATTCCAGACGGCCGATAATTCCACCACGTAAAAAATCCTCTAAATGCGTCCTTTGTGTCGTAACTATTCGGTTATTGCACTGAAATGCTTATAAACATCTGCGAACAATTTTACTTCTTTGCCTGTATTCCTTATATATCACTCTCTTACACTCTCGTCATTGTGACGAACCATCGGTGTCATCTGGTTACTTCCTGAAATTTGCATATGATTCTTGAAGATGTATGTAGTGATTTTACAGGTGATATATTTATTTTAGAGTTCGATTTCCGTGTGACTCCGAATTATCCTTAATTTATGGACATGAGTGTAGTACCATGTAATGTCTATAATAATTTAAATAAAATTTTAATTTTATTTATATAGTATAAGGTATTTTATGAATAATTGAATGAAAGTGTAAGATGTTTTACGAATGATTGGATTAATGAAGACATTTATAATATTTCTGTAGCAAATTAGTATGAAAACTTGTGAAAAATGAAAAGATTCATATTTTAAATGCAATATTCCATATTTTAAATAAGTGCAAATGAAAATTCAAAATGGAGATTCATTACAGAAGTTCATTTTCTTTGTTTCACCAGGTTCATCAGTTTTAGTTCATGGTGCAGAAGGTACTGATGCTACTTTAACTGTCTGTGCTTTGACACAGATTATTCTAAATCCTGACTGCCGTACTGTGCATGGTTTTGAAGCACTGATTGAAAGAGAATTTCTTCAAGCTGGTCATCCTTTTAGTATTAGATGTCAATGTGGCCCATATGCTGCTGCAAATTCACGATCAAAAGACCAAAGTCCTACTTTCTTGATGTTTTTAGATTGCGTCTTTCAGGTTAGATTTATTTATCTATTATTATGTTTAAGACAATTGTTATCACTGAGAAGTGTAAAAGATGTGTACATATAGAAACTGATCGCAGTTTTCAGTGGTTTCTTACTTTTTTATAAAGATAAATACTTCTAAAGCTTCTGTAAAGACAATAAACTAAATTATTGTTTATTGTGCATGGAGTTATATATTCAGTTTAAACACATTGATTATTATTATTATTATTATTATTATTATTATCGTCTGTAATAAAGTTATTGTAATGATTAATCAACTTGGAAGAAATAATAGTATTTCAGACTAACTCCAAATATGCTGAGTTCCATTTAAAATCCTTATGCATCTATTTATTGAATTGAAACTTAGTGTATTAACAAAAAAACAGATGTGTTTATTTTATAGCACATTTAGCAACAAATTGAAGATGTTACAAGTTGTCTCGAAAATTAAACAAGATAAATAAAAATTTCCAGTTACTATTTCCAGTTGAAAAGATTTAGAACATCTTGTTTAATGTCAAAACACAGGTGGTGGACATAGTATACTCAGATTATGAAAAATGAGGTAAAGAAAAGGGTATAATTACACAGATATTTCATTAAATTCTAAAATATTTCAAATAAAATGACTGGGAATACCATAAGAAAGTAATAATCCAAAAGTTAATTTTCATTTATTTAGAATTATTTTATTTATATCCTGTATAAAATTATAGATAGGTGTTCTTTCATTGATTCACTGAAGCAGTACTTTGAAGCAATTCAAAAAATGAGCATTAAAAACATTTTGTTGCTGATACCAAATAAAATATGAAAAGACTTTAAAAATGAGTATCATATGAGTCTGCATTACTGTGAGAATATTGTAGAATATACAGGGGTTGAGTTAAAGAGATTCTGGAATTTATTAAATAAAAGCTGTAGGCTTATACGATAATTTTACTGATTCATTTTTCTCAAAGTATTGATTCATTGTGTGCTGGATTGATGTATCAATTCCACTGTAGTTTTGATGCTTGGGAAAAACATATATAGTAGTATTTTTTTTTTTAAATTTCCTTTATTAGTCCTAATGGGCAATTTGCCTAAAAGGACTATTAATTTCGTTTTGGCATTTTGCGTTCATTCAATACAAGCATTGTTTCATTTTTCAAATTGTTTCCACTAAACATTATTGCCCTATATTATATTTAGAGAAATTAAATAATGAAGAATCTGCATAAATGTATGTATGTTTCTCGAATTGTGATAAAACAACGGTACCTAGAGCCATCAAATTTTTAATATTGTAATCCTCCTGCAAATATAAGCATCTGGAAGCCCAAATTTGGAATTTACTTTATTATCGATTTCATATTTTGTAAAACTTTAACAAATTTTTGATTAACGAATTCAAGGATTTCAAAGTGAGCAATGTTAACGTTGTACAGAAAAACATTTTTATCTCCATCGCGGGAGATTGTGTATCAGAAATTCTAAAGATATGCTCATTTTAAAATTATTTTGCTAAATTTTGTGGTTCAAGTGAGAAGAACATTATACTTAATAAATAAAGGTAATACACAGAATATTAAAAACAAACGCCCCTTTGAACGTAATTTAAAATCTGAAACCTTTCAGATTTTTTTTAAACTTCTCTCTACTTTTGTTTAGTTTTGTTCTTGAGTTTCATGTTCATTTTCAGGAATTAAAAAAAAAGTTTAAGTTTACCAAGTTGAATGAGAAATGAGAGTCATGTTCGTTGAAGTCAAAAACTCATGCACAATGAGTGATGGTGAGCAGGTATTGTCTTGGTGTAACACCTGATCTCTGTTTTTGGGAGACATTCCTTTCAGTTTTCTTTATGGCATCACAAAAACATCATAGTAGAACAGCCATTTCATGGTTTTCCCTTGATATGAATATTAATAAGTCTTTTAAGACAAACTTTGTTTTTATTATGCTCCAGACACTAAAGTTCTGAGCACACTGTGATTCAGTTATCTTGTATGCTTTTGGTTCAGTTGTCAGGAGATGAGACACAAGTTTTGCTGCGGTGCATCACAGTTACAGTTCATGGGATAAAATTTGCTGACAAGTCTTGAGTAATGGATCAGGGTCTCACGAAAATCATTAAATGCTAAATGACAATCTTCAGGAATTTTTTCTTGAATGCGAGCCGAGCCATATTTGCATCAGTGATTCTAGCTAAAGGATGTCTATTTCATCACCATCAGGGGACATTCTAGTACTTAACGTATTTTCCTATTGAACTATTTTTGGCAAACGAAAACTGTTGCCAAATAGTGCAATGTAGTGCCAGGAATAGAAAAGTGTGACATAAAAGCACACTCATAAGATGTTTGCTTTGATTTTATGTAGCTGCAATCCTCAGTTTAGTAATTATAAAGAAGGAAGTAAGTTAACTGCTAGTTTTCTGTTTTTATCTTTAATTCTGAAAAGAATCATTAACCTTTTGTTCCTGATTTCTGCAGATTAGAAAGCAGCAGAATATTTTCAAATTTATGATTCTGATTATACTTATGTGCATACTCAAAATACTCAAAAGTTCTGGAATTTGTGGTGCCTTAAAAAATAGGACGTAACTCTACAACATCTTTCAGGTTCATACTTAAGAAAATATATGTTGCACTTAATTTGCAAAGATAGTGACTATTTTGTTGCTATTTTAAATGTGATTATGGAATTTTGGCTGCTGCTATGGTTGATGTAAGTTTTAATGAATTTATTTGTACAGCAATCTCAAAGCTTGAACTCCTGTTTATTTTAAGTTTCTTTTATGCTATATCCATAATTTATATCTGTAGGTTTTGTAATTAAATAAAAAGTTATCTTAACTTGCATAAAAAAGTAATAATCTAATCAAATAAAGAATGATCTGTTCCTTCCAACTTCTACCACAATGGCTGGTGGGATCCCGACTAAAATTTGCATTTGACAGGAAAATATGTATGTATGGATTTTTTCTACTCTTAAAATTATAAACCAGTTGTAGTTATCATTTGTTTAGTCTCTGTTGCTGCACTTCCTGGTTTAAAGCGAAATTGTCTGCAAATTCTTTATTTGTTCAAATTTGTTATTAATGTCAGTCAGAGTATAAATGCATAGTACAGAGTCTGAAATCTAGGTATCCAGTATCTGGAATGATCTAAAATCCAAACCACCAAAAACGTTTTATTTAATGCCTGCACATTTGATATCTTTTATTATTTTAATTTTTTTTTAATTTGATATTTTTTATAATATTTGGAGAGCCCAATTTTCAATTTCACTTTGGAACTAAATAAAATTCTTTCATACTGAAGGAAAAATCATTTATTATTATACCTACTGAATAATTTATATCCTCTGAAGCCAACTTAGTGAAGCATTATTTATTATTTTTTGGTTTCATAACCACAAGATTGTCAATACATGGCAGCTTGAGAAATGGCTTATGCAATAATATAAATTTTTTTTTGAGAATATTAGTAATTGAATACCAAAGAGCATGGTAACCTTGTATGTTCACTTTATGCTTGAAAATGATTACATATTTCATCTAATTATACTGCAAAGTATTGAGTGTGTTGATGATGAGAAATTAACAGAAATTTCCTTCTATATGCAAAAATTAGGTTTTGTAAATGATACTCATAGACCAAAAAATTGCATTTAGTGCTCTTTGATTGAGAATAACTAATTTGTTATTTATATAAGCACAGAAATGGCACCAGAGCTAGTGCAGCTTCACAGAGCAGAAGAATTTAGAGTAAGCTTTATGATGATAGCCACAAATTTGAAGGTCTTTCAGATATCTCAAACAAAAAGCAAAATTTTCTTATTAATGGAACTTGTGGAGAAGTGGTAATAAATGGAAGATTACAGAAAAGAAGTTGTTGCGATGTAATGTGAATGAATTCGATACACATCCTCTTTTTTAAACACAAAACTTATATTAAGTAGTTGCACAATATGTAAATATAAACAAGAAAATGACATGTAAAACTTGTAAATGCGAGAATAGAAAAAAAAAATATGAAAAATAGACAGCATTCTAGCTGCCTTGTGAATGTGATCGTCTGAGCCCGACAGTTCAACTGAATTAATGTTCTTTGGGATAGTGCCAAAAACGAAATAGAGTTAGGTTGAGTAGTTCTGTTCCTGTGTACGGAACAGAAGTTTTTCATTGCAGTGACAATTCCCGTATTATCAGTCAACTAATGAATGACGAAATCTGTAGTATGGTTCTAAATCCAGAAAATATCAATACTGATAGTGAAGAAAATGACAGGAAGATTGCTGAAAACAGAAATTTCAGTTGACAATTTAGTGGAATTCTCAACATGGCAGTTACAGGACCTTGACTTGTTTAACTGAATACAAAATTATGTCTATATATAGAATTAAAGAGAAACACAATAATTGCACAAAAAAGGAAGCAAATGATTTTCATTGAAAGAAATGTTTAATAAAGCAAATAAATAAATGCTGAGCCTTTTTTTTTAAATCCCTTATCTGGAATCGCTCAAGTTTGGACGAGTCCAGATGCTAGTCTTGCATTGCGTAAAAGAACATGGCTTTCCATGACAGTGATGGCTTTCAGAATGTTTTCTTAATGCTACTAGAAAGGACATCTAACAATGCACCAGTTTATTACAATCTTTTGATGTGGGACAGAATATTTCCTGAAACTTCTGTCTTGAGTTTTATATACATCCACAGTCTAATATCAAACACATCAGTGAAACATGTATGTTCTCAATTATATATTTCTCATTTTGTTAAGACCTATAATATAAGAAAGGTATTTGCATAGTCATTGCCTTTCATTTGTCTAACTTTTTTTCACCTGTGTATGTTTCATGTAGGAAATACACATCTTTTCATACTCTTTACAGAATGCTCTAAAATTATGGAATTTTTTTTTGTCTTATCATGTTAGCAGTTCTTACATCTGCAACTTTGTAACACCTAAATCATAAGTGAAAGGAATACATAAAAACACATTGCATATATACCATATATTTCAACATATAACATGTACTTTTAATACAAAACATTAGACTGAAATTTACTAATGTGCAATTTAAAAAATGATAGTGTAAAAATAAAGAAAAAAATCAGCATACAAAAATTAGATTTTTACATATACCTAAATGATTTATATATACCTAAATGATGTTTAAAAGAAATAACATACCTTATGGACTTCAGGGATATTCATTATCAGATAACATGAAAAGTTCATCTTCCATTATATCTTCAGGCACATCATCAGATTTTCATCTTTACCATCATTTGTTATTCTGGTCCATAAATAATCATTAACTTTTTCATCTCTCACCAACACCAAACATACTTCTGCTGCACGATTTCCATTTTCTTTCACAAACTTAATGACTTTTCACTTGAAATCAGCACTGCATTGTTTCGTTTGGAAAGAGCCATGTTTATTACTAGAAGGAACACTAAAGCCTTCGGTGTTCACTTCAAAATCACAGCTTCAGATGACAACAGAAAACATCCAACTTTGAATTCTGCAAATTTATTCAGGGTGAAAGTGCATTCTTACCCCAAATTCTGTCTCCCTTTTCTCAAAACGCTAGAATGACATTCTTATGCTCATCTGCATCGAATACAGCCCACCTTCTTTGCAGAATTATTTACTTCATCAAGCCTTTCTTCCTGCACATATATTGTTCCCCTTACCACTTGTCAATTCAGTATACTATTGTTTGAATGAATGACTTCAAATGATAAGAGCATCAGACACATATTTTCAGGCTCTTCATAAAGAATAGGGTGCGTGTTATATGGTGAATATACCTAAAAATTAATAAATGTGTTTGAAATTATAGGTGCACATTATATGCCGGAATATACAGTAACAGCATTTCTCAGTCTGTGATCTCGAAACTTGCCTTTGTAATCCCTCTAGATTTTCAAAAAAGACAACAAATAAAATTGAGATTAACTGTGCAGATGCTCACTATAGCTGAAAATTATTACAGTTTGGAAGTTACACATGGTAATAGTCTATCACTTTTGCTTCTAAGACAAACAGTTTATGAAATTTATTACCACTTATTCTGTCTATGGATTACCAACTCTATTCTTAACAACAAATTAAGGATTTAAAGTATTATGACCGTGGGGCTTCTCTCCAGCATACATCTAAATATAGAACTATTATGCAAGATATGGCAAGCTCATCCATTTCATTAACAAGACATACAAACATTTATATAATTTTTAGTTAAGATAAAATTATCCAAATTCTAATAACTTTGAATTATTAAAATGAATGTAAATTTTCTTCTATTAACTCAATTACTTTAATACCTATTTAAAATTTAATGAATTTTAATAAATTGTATTTAAAAAAATCTAAGTGTACAGATATTAACATATGTTTAAAAAAAAGTGCATTTGAAGGAGATGAGTAAGGTTGTTCACAGATTAGTAAAATTTATAAAAGTGGCCCCCCCACTTAAAAAAAAGTTGAAGAATTGCTGGTATATAACAATGTATAAAATTTAAGAGGGAGAATTTTTTTGTATCTTAATGGATGGTATCAGAGTAAAGGAAACCATTTTTTTTTGGTTACTTTTAATGCAATAGTTTTTATTTTGAATGATATGTTTATTATTGTTGTTTTCAGAGTAAAGAAAATCATTCTTTTTGGCTACTTTTAACCCCTTAACTGCCGAGGGCGTATATATACGCCTTGCTCAGCTGATGCGTTAACTGCCCCAGATGCGCCCAGATGCGCAGCCGATGCGTTAACTTTGCGAATAATTTTAGGTGTAGCAGCGCAAAGCAAATGATAGCAGTTTGGAAGGACGTATATATACGCCTGGGGCAGTTAACGCATCGGCTGAGCAAGGCGTATATATATGCCCGCGGCAGTTAAGGGGTTAATGTAATAGTTTTTATATTGAACAATATGCTTGTTATTACAGTAGCTGTAGAACAATAAAATTTTTCTGCATCGTTATCATTTTTAGTAGCTATTTTACTTTTTAATGTATGAATGAATAATCTCATAAAAATGTAATATAATACTATCTAATAATTTTTTTTTTGTCACAGAATAAATAAGGGTTGTTTTTTTAATCTGTACAGATTCTAGCTTTATATTCAAATATTTGGCACTAATTATAATTTTGAGTGACATCGCGTTTTAATATATGTAGAACTTTATAAGACTGTATGAGTAAACTGAAGTTTAAGCTATGCAGGGGAAATTTGAATTATGATGATATTTTTATGTGTACTCACAAATAATTTTGAGTTTCATGCAATAGTGAAGTACTCAAGCTCATGATATTATAGAATATTAAACACATTGAGAGAGAGAGGTTGGAAGAAAGGACAGTCATTTGGCCATCAGTCTCACATAAAAACAGAGGAAGCTTAAGAACTGAAAGATGTATAGAACAACATTTTAAACTACTATGTAGTATATACCTGAATGAAACCATAAAAAGCTGTGCATGATATCACACTTGGCATGTGAATTTGTGTATTGAAGAACATGGTAGTCATTTCAGCATTTTCAATAAAAAGAATATTTTTATTCACATTTGTTATAATTAAGCAGTTCTATGATTTAATACTGTATATTTGAAACAAAATATATCAGTTGTAAAATGTAGGTGTAACCTTTTTTAGACTAAGGTTTGGGAATTTCAGGATTGAGCAATAATATATTGTGATATGCCATTGAAAGGTTATTTAAGAATCATAGACACATAACAGAAAAGATGGTAGTCAATTAGATTATATGATTAATACCTATGATATTATGTACCATATGTACAGTTTTAATGTCATCTTGCAAATTACGCCTGTTCACATGGTTGCTTGTTTGGATTCAACCATAAAATCATTCAACACTTTTAACATAATGGAAAATTCAAACTCACTTTGTAATGATAGCCATAATAACAGCCTGGAAAAAGTAATCAGCTGAATCAAATTAGTTAAGGAAGAGCATAATCTGCTATGTTAACCGAGTTTCTTTGTAATGTAATGCATTCTGTCTTCCTGCTGGTAGGCCAATGAAAGAACCAGTTTTGTGATGTCCCACTCAAACAATTATGGGTTGGGGCTTCACATATTGTTTAGGTCAAATAGAAAAATATTACCTCTTCCCATCTTCAAGAAATGTCAGTTAGTCGGCCGCACCTGCAACACATCTGCAGTTCGAAGATCAGACATCTAGATTTTAGACGTTGTTCTGTGTATATTTTTTCATATTACTGCTGTATTATTCATGCTAATATTTATTTATGCCTTAATAAAATATTTTAGTTCTTGGTCTGTGTAATGTGTTATGATTACTTATATATATTTTAGAAGAAGTGATAGTAAAATTTGCATGTTTATTTGAAACCATGTATTTTATTTCATTCCATTTAGATTCATCATCAGTTCCCCTGTTCATTTGAGTTTAATGAACAATTTCTAGTCACTTTATTTGAACATGCTTATGCTTCACAATTTGGTAAGTGTTTCTGTGTTTAGCTATACATATATGTGTAGTTGTCATGTGAATTTCTGATATAGAAGATAAATAAAATGGAACTGAAATTTAATGTACTTATTTTCCTCACATGGTGTGACAGAAGACTATATATATGTCAAATAAAATGCATTTTATATGAGCAATTTCAAAATTAAATGTTTCTGATTCAATAAATTAGCTCCTTTAAAATATACTACCATTCATTTCTGAAAACCTGCTGCTTTATTTGACATCCTTAATGCATGTGGTTAAAGAGAGAAATCTTTATCAAATTTTATGAACCACCTAATTAATCCCCCATTGGTATGACCATCTTTATCCAGTCTGAGATTTTTTGCCATTTGGTATATACATACTAATTACTTAAAATATTTTGTTTTCATATTTACTTTAATGATTTAAAGACTACTGTAATAAATTAAAGTTTATGAAAACAAAGATTAAAATAATTATTTTAATTTAGTTAATAAATGCTGTTCTTCATAAGCAGATCTAGTGCCATGTGGAGTGTTTAAAAGTAATTCTTATAGACTACATTTTGGTGATCATGTACACTAAAATTTAACTTTTTAAAAAATTTTTTCTTTTTATTTTGTAATATACAATTTTGATATTTCAGGTACATTTTTGGGCAATTGTGATAAAGATCGTCATGATTTGAAATTAGCAAAAGAAACTGTATCTTTATGGTAAGGATAGTAGTGACATGCAAGAGGTGTTCATGATATTATTTTTAAACCTGAATTTATATTTAATTTATTTCATTCAGTTGTATATTTTAAGTGAGAAAGGAAACTGATGACAGTTATTTAAATTCTTAATTCTCAAAACAAGAAATATTAAACAGAGTGAGAAATATAGAATAAAGACTAGAAAAGTAAAACAGAAATTGTTTACATTAATAAAATTCAGGCAATCCTAGATTTATGAATGACATATATTTTTGAATGTGTCTTTAAGTCAGATTTGTATATAGCACAGCTCGTCATAAACAACTCATATATGGTACTAATAATGCAAGTAGTAATGAGAATAATAGTGGCTTGATTTAAGTAACCTGTAAGTCTCAGAATTTTTTTTTTTTTTTTTTTTTAAATTCACATGAACAGAACATAAAAATAAACTCATATAAAAGCATTAGATAGAAGATAAAAGAAATGTCATATATGCTGGAAGGGGTAAAGTAAAAAAACTAAAGCTAATATTAATCATTAGATGATAATGACAGTATATGCTGGAAGGAAGGGAGTGGGTGTTGGAGAATCAGGATTTGATATGATTTGGAGGGAAAATCATAAGAGTGGATGCAAACTAAGAATAAAATGGAAAACTTAAGATAACAGTGAAGATGTGTTTAAAAGTGACCGTATAAACAATGAGACTTTGTATAAAGATGCTGTACCAATAAACCCACTTATACCACACAGGTGAATTTACATATGCAAAAGGCATTATTTATAAAATTATCAATTTGAGTATTGAATTATAAATTTAGCAGTGGAAACCTAGGATCCTATTCAGAAGTGAGAAGTGAATGTCATGCATAATCTAAGGATTTCATGTACACCTAATTCTGTTTTTAGACGATGGTATGTTAATGAAGAATATATTAAAAAAAAGACTTTAATCTGTGGAATGTGGAAGAAAAGAAAATTGGTTCCAGATCTGAAAAAAAAAAAAAAAAAAAAAAATTAAATACACCTGAAAACATTCTTCTTAAACTCATTATTTTATTTTGACAAAATACATGTACAGAATTATGTGTTAAAGTAAATTTGTATTCGAAATTAAAAGAATTGTTTATGAACCAAAGGGGGGGATGAAAGAAAATAAAAAGAACAAAGAAACTCTCTTTTACAAATAACAAAATTTTATTCTTTTCACTTTCTGACAATACATGGTGCATACATTTGCTTGTGACTGGAATATCACTGCTATCACTAGAAATGTAGACATCACTTTTTCCCTCTATTAACGGAATAGAGAAAATATAAATAATTTCTGTTATCTCTTGAGCAGAATCAACACGAATTCCCACTGGTGCTGATCTTTCACCAGTTTTACGAATGAATTCAATCATTAATCATTGCATTCCTGTTTTGATTAGGCTGTTGTATAATTATTTGAAAGAAGTTATCAACGACTTCAGTTCACATTGAAACATCCCAGCATATTTCTCATTAGGATCATATTTTGCAAAATAATATTCAATTTTCTGGTTATTCTTTTATTCCTCAGTTATTCTTTTATTAGATCTGCATTTAGAACTGCATTATTTTCTTCACTGTCACTTTGTTCTGTGGGATTAGGAATTTCAAGTAAACTTTTCATTTCATATCACATTGGGCTTCTCACAATTCATCAATATCCTCAAACAATAGATCATTGAATCCTTCTCCTCCGACTGTATGTGCCGTTATAATGATGCTGGCAAATTTACTCATATTGGAGATGATGGGATCTTTCCTTTTTACACATTTCCTTTTTACACTTTCCACGCATTCAGTGTTGCGAGTTTTTTTTTTTTTTTTTTTTCTTCTTTTTTTTCCCCAGTATCAGATTTCTGAAACAAAACATTTTTTGAATCCTTCTGTAAAAGTAGGAATGGTGACTGAGGCCTTGTTTGCCATCTGGTGAATAGACAATTTAATATCTACACCTTTCACTTAATGAGGGTTTAGGGCTCAATTTACCAGCTGTGATTTAAATATATTCTCTCACAAAACACTGGAGCAAAATAATAAAGTTACAGAACCCTTAGTTACCTTAAAATTGGCGTCAATTTTCTGCAATTGTAGTGCATATGTTCTGTTTGGCATTTGTTTCCAGAAGAAGCCACATTCATCTATTTAATCAGAAATGTATCCTCCGTCTTTAATAATTTTTCAACATTCCTTCTTGCAGGAGTGCTTTAGAAGACAATTAATCTGCAGATGCACTTTATTGTGAAGAGCATGCCTTTTAAGAAATCCTGTTATGCAGCTTGTAGAAAATTCATACTTTCTGCTAAACTGAAGTGAAGTGCTTGCCTCCTTTTCGTTAATTTGTCTATAAATTCTGTGAGCTATTTGCTGGGGGGGGGCATTTGCATCTACTGCTACTCTTTTTTGTGGCTTATATTCTGTTAATATTACCAGAGCCTTTTTCATTTTCCCTTGAAAGTATCATTTGTATATAACGTTGAATTAATACTTTTGTTCCAGAACATACCGACCTCCTGTTTTCAGCTTCATATTTCTTAATCCTGCAATGGAGGAACTGGCGTACAGAGTACGTCAATGCCATCTTTTGAGCTGTAATTTTTAGACAACCTCTTCCTGAGCTTCCTCCCTTCCTCTACCCTCCTAGAAACATTCCATGAGTGCAATGCACCTGGTATTTCCAGTCAGTCTGGTTTTCGCCTTCCTTCCGGAAGCAGTTATTGTGAACATGTCGCATAGGCGAACGCAGTACGCCGCCCCTCCAAGTACGTACAGAAAGAATATTGTACCTCCTGAAGATTATTTGCGCGTTTTAGAAGAAGTCTCGGTTGATGAAGACTCCAACCATTTGGAGAACGCATCTGATGTCGATGAATCGGAAGTCATCGAACATTCTGCTCATGAAAGTGACTCAGAAATTGAGGGAAATGTTTCTAAACATCCTCATTTTCCTTCCTCAAATGATGTTTCCTCAACAAATGATGATTTTAGTGATATTGAAAATGACATGAGTGATTTAAAATATGAGGACTTTTTTGGAAAAACAACTTACAAAAAGAAGAAAGTTGGTGGAAAGTTTCTGAAGGAAGAAAAGGAACCTTTAATGGAATAAAGTTCCCCTCAGAGCAAATTTGCCAGAACGCCTCGAAAACATTTGATGAAAAAATATGCCCAAGTGCCAAAACTTGTGACGATATAATGATGCTTTGCTTTCCAAAAATCATAAATACAAATATGATTGATGATACGTACAATATACAAATATTTATCTCAATGTAAGGACTGCAGATGATCTCCAAACATCTCAAGAGAAACATGTATGATACTAATAGAGCAGAAATTTTTGGCCTTTTTAGGAATTTTATTCTTATTAGGGCAAAAAATGTCAAATGCGATTTGGAGGAACATGGGCAAAAGATGGTACGGAATTGAAATTTGCAAGGAGTCATGGGTCTCAAGCGATTAGAACCTGTGCACTGCTATTAGATTCGATGATAAAGGCACAAGGTATGTGCAAAGAAAAACTGATAAGCTTGCTGCACTAAGAGAATTTTTTGAATCTTTCAATAAGAAATGTCAAAACTTTTATGCACCAGGTGACGAACTCACAATTGCCAAGAAGTTGGAACCCTTCCACGGGAGATTCTCTTTTATTCAATTCATCCCCCAACAAGCCCACAAAGTATGGTCTGAAAAGTTTTGCAGTTGTTGACTCACGAAAGTTTTATACATTGAAGCTTGAAATTAACTGCGGCAGTCAACCCCTAGGACCTTACGAGGCTTCTAATTCAAGTATTGACATTGTCAAAAGGCTAATTGGTGCCTACGAAGGTTCCAACCTGACGACCGATAATTGGTATACAAGCTACCCTCTAGCTCAGTATCTTCTTACCAAAGGTATAACACTTGTGCACGCTGAGAAAAATAAAAGAAATTCAATGAATTCCAGCCTCAAAACGAGAGAATCGGCAGTTCACTGTTTGGTTTTCAAAAAGGATATGACAATTGTTTCATATGCAACGAAAAAAATAAGTGTGTAATACTGCTCAGTACTTTACACGATGATGACAAAATTGACCAGGAAACGAATAAACCTCAAATAATCCTGGATTATAACAAATGTAAAGGCGGAGTTGATACCGTAGACCAACTTTGTAGTAATTTCACTGTCGCCCGAAAAACCAAGAGGTGGACAATGGCAACCAAGAGGTGGACGATATTTTTTGCACTGCCAAACGTAGCGGGCATAAATTCGCAAGTGCTCTTTAACTTCTCCAAACCTGATGCAACCATCAAGTTTAGAAGATATTTTTTTGAAAAATATAGCTACATCTTTGATCAAACCACATCTTCAGAATCGTCTGAAAATGTCATTTCTCCTCTAACATTCCAAAGCATTTATTAGAAGACTGGTAACAACAGAAGCGGACAGGATGGCCGAAAGGGACGAGGAACCACCTGCAAAAAAGATCAAAGGATGCTGCACTGAGTGCGGTAGAATGAAGAATAACTACACTACCATAAAATGTTCTGAGTGTTCTAAATTTACCTGCAAAAATCATCTTTGCAAAAGACAGTATAACTTTTAAACCATGCTGCAGTGAACAGGGACAATCTGAAGAGGTTTGAAGTGGCAAAAGGCTTTTGATTTTTTTATTTGTGAAATTTATTACTTACTGAACTTTTCTTTATGGAATATTTTAATATTTTGTAAATTTGATTTATGTTCTTATAATTTTCATACAGAAAATAATGCAGAATGCTATTTAACTTTAAATTACATTTCCAGTGCATTCCACTTTTTGAATTAATTAAAAATTCCTAGTTTCCAACTTTACTGCTTTTTTTTTCTGTTATTCTTTTCCTTATATCATTTTTACTATGACAAATCACCTTATTAATGCCATGTATGAGATTAAATAGTTTCAAACATGAAGCAGAGGCTCGAAAAATGACCTGGCGTACTTCATACGCCACCCCTCTAAAAT